TCATCCGGCCCGCGGAGATCTTTTTGTCCAAGGAAAAATCTTTTGTTGGTGATGATGAGGAACTTTGCGCAGAAAAATTAAAGACATGCCTGGAAGAAACTGGCCCCCGAACTGAAATTTGATAGTTAATGCGGCCCTCGGACTGAAAAGTTTGGAGACCCCTGGTCTAGATCGTAACGCCCGAGCGAAATTTCGGACACTTTTAACTGACACATTTGTTTCAACGTTGACACGTGGGTCAAGACATAAGTTCCCCTCATAAGGACAATGCAATCTGACATTAAATTTGACTTAATTGGACGTCTAATTAATTTTTTATGAATTAATTACAATTTTGTCCAAATTAGTAGGTTGTCCGCACTATTAGACACGTGTCATCAAGTTCATTAGGTGCACAATGGTTTTCAGTCATGCAACTCTATTGTAATATATATATATATATATATATATATATATATATATATATATATATATATATATATATATATATATATATAAAGTACTGAAAAAAAATGAATAAAAAACGTTTTAATAACACTCTTTTATGTAATAATGCACTAAAAAGTAGAAAATAAATAAATCGCGGTAGACTTTAGTTTTTTATATTTTAAATTTGTCTAAAATGCTTACTAACCGTCTCTTTTTTAAATACACATAAAACGTATGACTTTTATATTGACTAAACTATTGGTCATTAACAAACAATTTAAACAACTTTATTGTCCTAATTTTGTTGGCATATGCTTGCATTTTTCTTTAGTGATTTGGTATCAATTACATAACTGTCAAAAGTGATTTAATGTCTTAGCAAAAAACACCAGCAAACAAACAAAAAACTAAAAACATTGGGTTAAAACGTGGGAGAGATAAACATCTGTTATTAAAGTGAGAAGCGTTTGGCATTAGCTTATAGATTCCAAAACATTTCTGTTTAATTATGTGAGCGTGTATATATATATATATATATATATATATATATATATATATATATATATATATATATATATATATATATATATATATATATATATATATATATACTAGCGTACCCATCCCCGCGCGTTGCCGCGGGAATAGAAGAAAGTCCGCCGAAATATATACGGGTTCCATCCATGTGTTACCGATTCTATATTCTTAGACTCGTGACCTTGTTTTCTAAAAGTGAGTTATTTAAATGTAAATAATGCCTACGCTTGGATCATAAATATCGGGACACGGGTTTACCTACACTACCGCATGAAAACCTTGAGTGTACATTAATCATTCACCGAAATAATGTGGTAGAACACACTTCGTTGACCGCCCATGTGTTAGCGACGTAGCCCCCCCCCCCCCCCCGATGTATAATGTGTACATGTTTATAGTTGGCTGATCTGGATAGCCTATGCTTGACTGTTGTATTTGAGAGTGATCAGAGAGATTTTTTTTATTTGAGAGTAGATGGATACCTTATTTAAAATGTTTATGTGTGTGATTATTAATAAAGATAAATTTCATAAAAAAATAAATAAACCGGGAGTGATCTCCTCTAAACTTTCTCGAATATTCTAATATAACACTACGTGGGATGGCAGGCAACTCGGAATATAGACATGATTTTCGTTTACTTAAACTTTAAAAAAAAATCATAAAAAACGTTTTAATAACAAGCTTTTATGTACTAATGCACTAAAAAGTAGAAAATAAATTATAGACTTATACTATTTAAATAACTATAAAGAAAAGTGTTGGTCACTTTAGTATCTATTGGATACCTTTACTAATGTTTAGGTAGAGACCCACGCTTTTCTTTATAGTTATTTAAATAGTATAAGTCTATAATTTATTTTCTACTTTTTAGTGCATTAGTACATAAAAGCTTGTTATTAAAACGTTTTTTATGAAAAACATTGTTTGTGCTTTACATGTTTTTATTTACAATAGAGTTTCATTACTAAAAACCCACTGCGCGCCTATTGAACGTGATGGCACATCTATTGTACGTGATAACGCGCTTTTGTCGTGATGACGCGTTTGGATAGACATGCCTACTAATTCGGTACAAATTTTAATTAATTCATAAAAAATTAATTAGGCATCCAATTAAGTCAAATTTAATTTCAGATTGCATCGTCTTCATGTCTTGACCCACGTGCCAAGTGTGAAACGTATCGGTCAAGTAGAAGTGTCCGAATTTTCGCTGCGGCTTTTCGATCTAGACAGACAGAGGAACTGAGTTAAATAAAAGCATGTAAAAAAAATTCATAACAAAAATTTATAAAAAACGTTTTAATAACAAGCTTTTATGTAATAATGGACTAAAAAGTAGAAAATAAACTATAGACTACTACTTAAATAACTATAAAGAAAAGCGTGGGTCACTTTAGTATCTATTGGATACCTTTACTAATGTTAAGGAAGACACCCACGCTTTTCTTTATAGCTAATTAAATAGTAGTCTATAATTTATTTTCTACTTTTTAGTCCATTTGTACATAAAAGCTTGTTATTAAAACTTTTTTATGATTTTTTTTCAGTACTTTACATGTTTTATTTACAATAGAGTTACATAAAAAAAACAACATTTTTTTCAAGACCCGAACAGGCCAGCAATGAGTATCCTATGTTCGTATTTTGCATATATATATATATATATATATATATATATATATATATATATATATATATATATATATATATATATATATATATATATCCTAATATATAAATCCCCACGTTCGCACATCTCTCTCTCTCTCTCTCTCTCTCTCTCTCTGTCTGTCCGCAAAAATTTTTCGCCGGACATCACGTCAGAATCGGCAGCGATATATCGAGAACCTTTTACGGACTTTTGTTGAAAATAATATGTTAGATGTTTTAAATGTATAACCACAATTTTATTTAAAGAAGAAAAATAAAAAATAAAGGCGTATTCGAATGTAGAGAAACAGTATTATTTATGCAACCGGAAAAGCATTAATAGATGTGTAAAAGAACGCATAAAACTGTGACGACACTATTGCTTACTAATGACGTCATCTGCCGTGTTTAGAATAAAAAAGAAATGAACTATTTCATTCAAATTTGATTTAGATCTACGTACACTATGAAATGTATACAATACAATTTTTCCGGCCTAAACTCATAACATTTATTTATACAAAATCTTTGTTTGGAACTGGCTAATTTGGGATAAAAAAATTAATTTGAAAGAATAGGCATATTCGCGTAAGTTAAGATTTTAAAATACGTCTTTCATTCTCTGTATTTTATAAGGTGCCTAAATAGCGGAGATGTTAGAGTACTATAAACCACGCAGGTGGTGCGGGTTCGAGACCCACCAAGTCAACTTGGTTAATGTATTTTTTTTTAAATTTTGCTCGGACTAAACTTTAAAAAAAAATTCAATTAGGATTCTAGATCTAGATCTAGATTGTCGGGTGTCCGATAAGGCACTTCACGGCGCCGCAGGCGCTTCAAATTTGGCAGGATCTTGCCTTGGGGCGACAGAGCACGTGGACCGGTTGGCCGAAAAGTCTACGATGAAGGGGTCAAAACTGACCTCGACTGACCGGTACCTTATATGAGCTATAAATCGAAAAAAATGTCCACGGAGGAACCTCTTCATAACTCTTGAGGTCGTAGACCGACCCTCGGGCGAATTAATTAAGCATTCAAATTCTCAATGTTTTCGAAAGCCTAAGCGAAGCTGGGCAGCATGCCTAGTATATATATATATAGGGTGGGGGTCTAAAATTTTTTTTTGCGGGGTGGCCCTTTTTTTAAAGTTCCGACACTGCGGTAGCCTATGATATTTTAAATGTGTCGGATTTTGATATATTTAGTTATTTCTTTGCTTTGTCGCTAATATCGTTTAACGTGTAGTAAAGCACATTGCGTTTTGACCAATAATTATTATATAAATTAGTTTTTTCCAAACAAATATAACATTAAAAAATATAGGCCTATAATTCACGTGAAACGGATAGGCCTACTCATGGCTAGTGTCTTAATAACTAAGTCAAAAAATGTGTTACTGTTTGTCTTTATTTGTCTAATCTGTAACCACACTGTTGTGTGCTGACGAAGACCTTGGGTCTAAACGTCCATAGTACTTGTAACTGTCTTTAACTTGTGAGGTAACTAATACTATCTGTTTTATTACTTAATAAATAATAAGGCCACAAGCCCATGCAGATTTCGGTATCCTAAGATTTCAAGTTTAGGCCTACTTTAGTTCAAACAGGCATATGAAATCTGGCAACAAATTCTCCATAATAGTCTACGGTTTCCGCTTCCCGTTCTTTCTTGAAGCTGTAGCCATTACAGGTAGGTTGAGACCAATTTCAATCCTATACCAGCACACTATACTGATGTTTAATCTGAGTTCAAAGTTAATCTGAGAGCTAATATCAACCCTTTTACATTCTATCATTTCAGCATCTTTGACAGAAAATGAGAGCTAAGGTAAGCAATTAATATTTTTTTTACCATGCATCGTGGCAAATTTTTCAGAATGATTTCCTTGAAAAGTTAGTCCGTCATAGAAATACAGATACATCTATGCCTAGAATTTTTGTCTAGAACTTAGATCTAGATCTAGCTATTTTAAATAGCAAGGTCATCTAGATGACAAATATTTGCCTAAGACTAAGGTCTAGATTCTACACGTAATGCTTCTCCTGCATAAAAGTGCTGGGGGGTATACAACTGGCAACACATTTCCATATAACTATATTTGAAAGTTTTTTATCGGACACCAGTATCTATCTATAGATCTATATATAATTCTCTTCTGGGATCAGTTAGAAAACAAGCTGCAAGCGCGCCTTTGCAGTCCCCTCTCTTCCTCTCTATCACTATCACTACCACCCCCACATGATCTGGTGAGCGGTGTTCACTCTTTACATTTTACAATCACAGAGACGGGTTTGGTGACGGCTATTAGGGGCAGATAATTTAGTTTGAAACGATTTTAAACTTAGAGGAGGTAACTAAGAGGAGGCTGCTTTCACGGGGGGGGGGGGGTAGTGTTTTTAAGCAAATATTTTCAATGGCAGCATTGGTACTGTCGAATTCACAAATTATAAATTACTGAAAAGTAGAAAAACAACTAAATAGCGGCGTATGATACGCAGCGGGTCGGCTCGTCTTTAATAATTTAATAAGCCAAACATTGAAATAGCAAATTTGGTGTTTACACATTTGGTTGGAGTTGATGAAATTTTGTAGCCCACTGCCTTGGTTGAGTGTCAAGTTTAACTATTCTAGACTAGATCTAAATAAATCTTGCTAGATCTAGTGACTGGTCTTCATTTTTTTAGAGGTAACAATTATTTTAACTTTTCAGTGGCGCAAGAAGCGTATGCGAAGGTTGAAGCGCAAGAGGAGAAAGATGAGGGCTAGGTAAGGTTTTTATTATAGGTCTTGCTAGATGCTAGAGCAGCATGAATTTTTCTTCCCATTATAAGATCCTTTTCCGGACCTGAGGTATTGAAGCATGATTTTCAAAGGAGCTTTTGACATGGATCTATAGTTTGAAATCACACTTTATTAGTACAGTAGGAGTCTCTTTATACACCTGGCCATCATTTTTCAGATGTCTACTATTGAAAATGATGAAATATGATCAACACATCTTATTGTAGTATCTCAATTTCTGAGTACATGAAAAAGTTGAATATACTTGCTTTGCAGTAGTGTTATGGAACTCGCCTAACCTAGCCTAGGTTAATTTTCATGATTCTGTTTAGAATTATACTTAATCCATCCTGTTCAGCATTTTCCCCATCACTATAACTGTTCTAGTCATCTATTTGGGTTGAATTCACATTTAACGTAATCTGGAAAAGGAATTTATTTGTATTATAATGCATAATATGATACAGATCTAAGTACCCACTTACCTTGTGATCTTTTGATCTGACTGGTAGCACCTACTACATTAGCAGGGTATGTATGTGGTCCTGCAGGACTGGAATTTAGAAAGTTGGATTTCAGATAGTAGAATTGCTTGTTGAGCTTTTCTGGCTAGGCTGATCAATAATGTATTGTACTGTAATAAGTGCGCTGATCAAAACTGATTTGACTGATAATACTATAAAATGTGGTTCAATTTGCACATGTTTGGAGCCACAATTTCTAAGGTTAAAGGTGTATGGACCATGATTCTCGTATAGCTCATTTACATTGACTTTCTTTTAGCTAGATAAAACTTAAGCATTGTAACTTACATGGACATTTTTATAATTTAAGGCAGTTGTTAAAACAGTCCTTATGGTTTACCTTGTATTTCGTTTGAAAAATTTTCCCATATTAATTTTTATGGCAATTTGTATAATAACTTGTGATAACTGGTGAGTTGGTGGTAGTATATTATTAATTTAATGTATGTTATATATTGTCTTAACTATTTTCAGATCCAAGTAAATTTGAATTGTCTGTTCCTCAATGTCAACCTTACCTACAAAACAGAATGGTACAAATGGAGCCAGGCATTCAAGATACCTGTTCACTGTCAAATTCTCTGACCACAATAAACTTGTGCCATTTATCATTTTTTTTTCTTTCAGTTATTGTTAAAGTTAAAATAAAATACTAGTTAGTAACATTATGTGATTGACATCATATGAGGGTGTTAGATATAGATGTTATGATAGATTAGAAGTTTGAGTTGTAGTATATGTAAATCAACCCACTTGAGACTACTGTTTTGTCAAATTTTGGATTTTTGGTAGACTCTGTTCGTACAACTTATGCACATCTATATTATTACTACTAGTTTCGATTGCGTTGGCATTGTCAGACATCCACGGACCAAACACTGAATTGCACAGTCAATAATAAAATTTACAGGTTATAACCTGAAAACAGTATTTTCATCTGTTTCTGTACCCAAGGGATATGATTAATACTTGTATTGGATCAATTATGGTACATGTGAGATGATGTATCCTGGTTGAGAACTGAATATTTACATTTTCATGCACACGTGCTAAATCATGGGTTCGCAAACTGATAAATTTAAACCCTAGCTAGCGTTGGAAAATATCTGAAATTAGGTTTAACTGACATCAAATGAAATGGAGAAAATCCATGCGTACTGTGCAAAGTTAGCCATGAGTCTATAGTCAATAAAACCTTCAAAACTCAAATGTAATTTTGAAACGGCATACCGAACACACCAACAAAAATATAGTACTACTGAGGCTTAATAGCAGACATGTCCATTTAACACATTTTGAGTGCAATCTTTCTTTCCCTAGTTTGTTTTTCAAGTTGATGAATGTTTGTTTGGGTCAATATTAGGCTTTCAGGAAACAATGAAAGATTAGCACCCTAACCAAGGGCTATCTACTGCATGATTGTCACCGGTCTTCCGACTGCATGGCTAATGAAAGTCGTAAATCATTAAATCTGGAGCCTAAATACTTGGCTGTTTAGGGAACTGTGCCAAGACATAATAAAGATCATGAGGTTTTGCTTTTCTACTGCGAAGACAAATACATTTAGTTTTACTTTTAGGAAATATTGCCATGTGGATGTTTGAGAAACTGCAGAGTGGTAAATGAATCTGATTGAGGTAAATAAAAAATTGAAACATTTCTGGGCATCTTAAATTGGAATAAAGTCTGTGTATGTAGGAAATCTAGAAGATGATAAAAACTCAAAATAAAACAAATATAAAGAAACCATACAGCGACTGGCTTTTAAATTTAAATGCACTGAAAAAAGTAAGATAAAACGAAGTACCCAATTCTTTCAAATTAAATTTTGAAGATGTCATTGTCAAGAGTGACCTTAACTTTTATGAAGGAAAGCAAATGATTTTATTTCAATAGCTTGTAAATGGTTTTTTTTTTTTAAATTTTTTATTCTCCTCACTACTCTTTAGTGATTCCTACGTGATTCTTTAGTGTCACGACTAAAACATATGTAAAGCTACATCAGTAGCTCGCGATATAAAAGACGATTATCAGTATCAGACCTGTTCCTTGAAAATTGAAAAGCAGTGGTCCGTATTTTAATTGCGAGAAAGTTCGTGTTGCCTCCCCTTAGTTTCAAAACTTTTTAAATCTCCCTCTAATAGCCTTCACTGGTTCGGCCGGCTCTACAATTCTTTTTTTTTCTTTTATAGTGAACCCATAGCTCACCAGACTCACCCTAAAGGTGATCGCGTCTAGCTACTTATCTCCACTTCTTTAATGAATATGGTGATTTAGTAGTGTCAAAACTGTTTGATTTTAGAAATAGACGTGTAGCATTAACTTTAACTTTGTCTCACCTTGTAAAATAGCCATAGCTAATTTATAGAAAATATTTTTTGTCGAAATAACTATTCTGTATTTATTGCTATTATTAGTCTTAGAGTAGAACCAGTAGCGCTTTTAAAAATAAGAACATTTATTTAGAATACCTAAACAAATGTTTTCAAACACGAGGGCTAACATAAAATTGGTAATATATATATATATACACATATATATATACACACATATATATATATCCATTTATATATGAATCATGATGCAGTATCAGTTTGAAGGGAAACAATGTAAGCACACTATAATTACTGAGGTATGTTTAATAAATATAAAAGATTATACACAAACAAATTACAGTTGTAGTTCAATAGTAATACAAAATTTACGTTACAAATATGTATGCATTCTTTATTATACAGGTATTTGCAAAATATGGAAATTACAATTATTAAAATATGACGCTGCCAAATCCAAGACTAGGCATATAGGCCCAAATTCATTGATCAGAACTGATGGAGATAGGAGCTTATGTAACAATGGGAGGGGTTATTAATATTAATAAACGGCTTAAAAACAGGATGTAATGGAGGACTAGCTAAAAGTAAAAGCATTTTTTACTGGCTTCTGCTTATCTCACAAGGTCCATCTGTGGGTAAATTTGTGGTCTAATCTATTCTTAAAACTCAATTAAATACAGATTTAATATTAGTTTCAATCTAATTTGGTATTAAAAATTAATTTAAATATTACTAAATTCAAAAGGGGGATAACAGAATTAATCTAAGTGTTTGGGGTAAGTTGTTTTTACTCTACATGATAATTGAGTAATGATTACTAGTGTTGCATTATATTGGTCAAGGGTGACCATGTTTAAAAATGGAAGTTTGACTGCTATTACTATTATATAATACTATATTTTGGAACCTGTTTAGAGTGTTTGCATGATAGTATCAAGAAGGTTTCAGGTTTAGAACCAAGTTGAAATGTGTTTTTTATGGATTAAATGCATTAAGGTTAGGTGGCGGAGTGGTCTAGCAGTAGAAAGCTGGACTGCTAATCCGTAGGTCTCGAGTTTCGAATCAGGGATAAAGTCAGTACAACGTCCCTGAGTCCACCCAACTCTGATGGGTACCTAACTCACGTTAGGGAGAGTAAAGGTGGCTGGGCATAGTGCTAACCACACTATCTCTTCATATGCCGAGGTCACAGAAACAAGTGAACTTTACTTCACTTGCCCCATAGACCATCAGGTTTGAAAGGGAAACTTTTAAATTAAGGTTATGGCTAGGTTTAATCTGAGAAAATTATGATTTTAATCAGAGCAAATATAAACAATTTCAACTGATTGTTACAATTTTTTGCACCATTTATCACGAGGATAAAAAGCACAGTATATTTCCTTGATAACCCACAGACCGAAATAATCATGTTGCTTATGTCATCTTCTGCTGACTGCAATAAGCACTACCATCTAAAGCAAGTTATCTTTCTTTAGATATTCAAGTGGCTGGTTACCAAAATCTCTAACATTTATTAGCTACCAAGTTTTTAATTAGAAAGGCAAGTTTTTGTTTTTAAGAAAAAGTCACAGCAATTTTTACTTCCTCATATACTGAGTATAGAGAAAGTAATATAATAGTGGAAAAACTCTAAATTTAGATTTCGACAAGTCTTGATGAAAAACATGATTTTGCAATTTGTTCAAACGTTGATGAAATTACATATACAAATACAAGTAATATATCAAATATGCAGTTCTGTATCAATGTTTGAGCGATATACAGTTACCGGAAGTTCAACTAACTCTACTTCTGGTTTCTCAAAAACTAATAGTTAGAGCACTGCTTAAGTTTGGTAGCCAAAATTTCACATTTTAAACACTACATCAAATACACTTTAAAAATTTTGAACGGTTTCATATATAAGATCTTATACTTTGATTATCTTTTTATTTTTTGAGTTACTTTTGATAACCAGAAGCGGTACTCTATATCTTGTTTCTAAAATATCAATAAAGTAAGTACCATTTCATTTAGGTGAAAGAAATTTTATATATAGGTATAAAATCTAATTATCTTGATTCTGTTAGTGATTTCTGGTGACTGGAAGTAGTTGTTAACGGTATTTCTGATTTCTCACAACATTTTTTTATCCCTAGATTCTATTCTATTTAAATAAAAAATATTTCTATTGCACTGGAAGTGCCATCCCCCTTACTGTTACATAAGAATTTAGGGAAAGTTATGGGGAAATCACTTTCGCTTTTTTAGTATATATGAAAATTGCTTTGATAACAAACATTTAGGTACAATGAGATTAAGAACATGAAATTATGCTTTACTACATTTTTACACCAATTTGGCAAATAATTTTTTGTGTTGCCATGAACAGAATTCCATTTCAAATAATTTTCACCGCATAGCTTTGAGTAGTTGCTGCACATAGTCTAAAAATGTTCCACTTTCAAGCTGATCTTCTGGTAGCTTACTTCTCAGTGATGCCTAAAATCAGGATATAGCAATATTACATTTACTATGTTTAGATTTTTAAATATCAGTATTAATACAAGAAGTTTTACTGACCTTTACCTTATCCATATAAGTAATAGCTTCACCCCAGTGTTCTTTAAGGTGGACTTTATCCAATGCTCCACTATAGAACTCTGTTAAACGCTTCTGTGTATAAAATGATATAAAGAATATAAATACCATTATACAAGTTCAAGTGCTGAAGTCAACATAAAAGAAAATAAATTTCTCTTTGAATATAATACTTTCACCATGATTTTTATAACTTTTTAGCAAAATATCTTATATATACTTCTACACTATAACTGATTTATAAAGCATGTTTAATTAATTTAAAAATAAGTTCTAGGTAATACCATATCCTTAGGTTTCAACATGATAAACTAAGACAAATCTATAGCATATTGCTTCTTGCTTTTACTATATGCAGAATTTTAAAATACATTTTAAAAAGCAAGAATTATGAATAAAAATATGTCACCTTTTAGCTCAAAAATATTACGTGCAATCTACTTAATGTACAGACCATTGAATTGTTAATAAGTATGATGTTTTACAATGTGTTTACACTTACGACATGTGTACTATTATTTCTATAACACAAAGACTGCCAAAAATTTAATTTTATCTGGAAACATTTTCTCCACAGAACATATATAGATCTACTTCAGCGTTCACACTTACAGAACATGTTATACAACATTTTAGAAAAAAAAATGACCATTGACCTGGAGCGCATGCTATATATACATAAGGCCTCAATAATTAATAGAAAGACTAATCAAAGTAAAAAAAATGCAACTACGCAATTATCTAAACATTAGAGATCATGAAATATTATAGGAATTTTATTTGAGTGTCAGCAACTGATCTTGAAATAATATTATGGATGATAGCACAGGGTCTAAGCCATTACCCAACTACTATTTTACCCTCAACCTTCAGTAGAATTGACCACCAATCTTCAGTAGCCATTTATTTCCCGTTACTTAGTAACTGGAGTGTTTAGTTTTCTGATATACTTCTCAGAATTTTGTTTCCAAATGAATAAAGTCAAACAAATATTACCCAAAGAAGAAATAGACCTTTTGAAATTAAAAAAAACAACCCACAATTCACTACTTGAGTGGAGAGGAATATTGTACTACAATGCTTTTTATTTGCCTTTTTTTAAAGTCTGGTGGTTTATTGTGTTGCTTGTTTATATCCTTTGGGAACAGCGTGTATGATTTAAATGAATAAATATTTGTCTGCTGTAGCACCAGATTTCTTCACAAATATGCATATGCCAAGTTCTTAAAAAATATTGATATAGAGTTCTTGCGAGTGAGCAAAAAACAAAAAATTAGCACAGAACACAAAAAAGGGGCATGGTTTTGTGCCCAGCAACTCAGAAGATGTTCCATACACCCATTACATGGATAGTCTATTATACATGTTGTAAGTGTAAACACGGTGTTACAAATTTGTTATAAATTACCATATCAGTTAACAGATCCTCAGTTAATGATGAATCTCGTCTAATGGCATAAGATACATACATTGGAATGTTAAATGATGTTGGGTGCTGAAAAAAAGTTGTTAAAAATTAAGTTCTGACCTGTATAAAATTTTTATTAATTTTGTTTGTTTGGTAAGTAAAACTGTAAAAATTATCCAGTCTAAAATATTTTTCTGGTAAAAATTATGGTACCTCAAGATTAGGCATGACCCAAAAGGCTTGAATCTTTGAATCTGGTTTTGGGGGAAATTTTTCAAATGGGGCTGAAATTTATAAATTTGTTTGAATTTTAATACATTAGACATGATTTTGATAAATACTTTCAAAGTGTTTATCATTGTTAATGGTAGCTATAGAAAAGCCAATATCATATTTTGAACAACATATCATAGTATAAGTATCGATCTCAAGTTACTGAATTAGCTTTCGTTGTTAACTTACAAACTATAAATCCAATGCAAGGTAGGTACATGGAACCTGATCCTCTCATTTTAAGCTGGTAAGACATCTGACAGTCTACATCCCTGATAGATGGGTCAGGCTGACAGTATGGATGACTGTGATACCAGCCTACTACCATTTGGTTCTTCTGTTTCATTCCTCTACGAATCTGTGAATAGTTTTAATTTTGCATATACATTTATGCTTATTATCATCTAATTCTAACATAGACCCTTGGTCGTTGGGGCACCACCAAGTGCTGTGTCTAAGGCTAAGTGTTGCATGGCAGTGCCCACCCCTCTCCATGCTTGACCACAGCGGGGTGTCTCCATTTAGGTGGCTTGCCTTAGTCACAAACATACGACAGTTGAATTTCATCAAGGAACTCTTTTGCCCTGGCCTGTGACCTATACTGGAAGATCATTTGACCAATTATGCCGCATCAGTTGTTAGATTTTAGTTTTCTAGTTGCTGCCCCCAGATTTTGAGCCTTATCTGCCCACGGGTTTGAACTCAGGCCTTTTCAGTTTAGCAGCCATGAGCTATTCTGACCCAACCACAGGTAGTTCAAAGGGCGCATTTAGTCAGGATAACATTTGAGAAAACAGTTTACTGCATGGTTAATTTAACCTCCAGTTTAATACATATCATATGATATTAATGCCCATCTTAACAGTTAAGGTTTTAAATAAAAACATACTTCTTCCTCAACCAAAGATGCTCTATCTTTATCGCCTAGCCTACATCTGACTGGAAACACTTGTTCCACGCTTAGATCTGTCAATAGATTAGTTAGCACATTAGTTATAACTAATGAATCAAAGCCAGCTGTAATGTTACTACTACAGCATTACCTACGTTGTTTGTGCGAGTCCCATTTGCCACCTAAATATCCAACAACTTCCGATTTTGTTAAATGACAATGGAAATCCTAAAAAAAAAGAATTTAAAAAATTAATTTTTTAAAAAGTAGAAGTGTTTGCTATGAATAATGTGAACAAATTCATTCAATTTTTAAATTTAGTTAATGAGATCTAGGATTGCTATAAATTATATAACTTTATATGAAGAAAAATATGCTTAATTACTATTCTAAAAGTTAAAATTAAAAAAAAAAAAGTAGTACTAAACACTGTCATTATATGGGTGCAAAATCTATTGTTTTCTCCTGGCTTTAGAAGAGGTTGTAAACCCTCAGCAGGAAATAAATTATATGCAAAGAAAGAGAGGAATACCATCACTATAAATTTGTTAATTCATGAGATTTGACCACAAACAACCCACACACAAACTTAAAAAACTAGAACAAATAAATATGCCAAAAAAGTTTTTTTGAGTTGTTTCTCTGGCTTTGGGGAAAAAAGGTAGACATAAATTATTACATGATAAAGTTAATAGAAATACAAACCATCAACAGCAGAGCATTGCTAGTGAGTGAGACAGTGAATGGTTGAATTTTACTATGGCTATCAAAGTGTTCACATTTCACTAATGTGTGGGGATCTCTGGAATGAAAAAAATATAATTTCTAAATCACCAAATTTCACCAAGTGCTATATAATTTAAAAATAAAAGTGTGTGTATAATTACATTTCTTGGTTTCTTGATCCCAGGGATATGTAAGAAACACTTTTCCTTTCTTTTGCTAAGTACTGCTCATCTAAGTGGGCTGATTTAGATTTTGGTCGATTGCAGGAGGTTACATCTCTTTTTCCAACTGTGGGGAGTTCAGCTGACAAGTTAAGGGGATCTGTATACAGAAACATACACACACATAGGTATCATGTAGATTTTATTTGATGATGTACATTATTTTATAACAGGCACTAATTAATCCAGCACCCAGCATTAATCCATGTCGTTTATTATTTTCATTACTTGAGGCTTATATTATTGGTATCTTTCAAGCCAATTAGAAACACTTTGTCAAAGCATCCAATTTGGATAAGGGTCTTTGTTCATAAATGAGAAACTATAACATTTTGTTGTTGTTTGATTTTAGGAAATTGGTCTGACAGTAGTAATATCCCCTTGAGAACAGAACTGCTGCTAGGAAATTAATTGGGATACTGTTGTATTAAATAATATTATTATTAGACAAAATTACATGTTTCTTCTGAAACTGAATTATTTTTAGGTGGTAAATTTGAAACTAGTATTATATGCTCTTTAGGCTTTTTAAAATGAACTTACTTTCATGATTGGGTGAACCTCCTTGCTTTCTGGGAGATGTGCTAAATATTTAAGAAAAAAAAGAGTGGATAGTCTCCAATGAAATTATTTGAAACATAAACATCTTACTGCTATATACAGGCATGCCTCCGCTGGCGACTTAAAGTAGGAACAGTTGTACATAAAAACATGTATGTTTATATGTTGTGAGAAAGAATATGCAACTCACTGGCTTGGAACAGAATGTGGAGCTTTGATTGATGGCTCTATAAATGACACTTTTTCTGCTTGCTTTTCTGGTAAAATAACATCTTCTGTTTTCAGTTTCTTTTCACATGATTTTTTGACAGAATCTGCATTTCCTTTAGAATTATCAGTCATAGATGGATTTAAGACAGTTGACACCTCAGTATCACTACTGATAGAACCTTCTAAAGAGATACTGAGGTCAGAAGAAAGTGAGTTTATTATTGTGCCTGATTTGGAATCCATCTCAGCAGACAAAAATGAAGCAGCAGATGAATTCTGGTGAAAGAAGAAAAATCAGAACATAAAATACCGTAAAATTGAACAAAACTTGGGAAAAAATATTTGAGTAAGTTCTCACCTTGTTTTTGAAAGGGTTATTTATTCTGTGCTTTCGTGCCCACATACTTTTCCAAATGTCAAGTTTTCTATTCTTATACTTGACCTGAGTGAACATAAATAAAATGTTTACTTTTAATTAAACAAATAATGAGTAAATTATCTTTGCGATAGATCGCTCTTTAATTCTTCTTTTAAACAAACCTACATTGCATTTATATTTAGACATGGCAGATATATAAAAGCAATGTGAAAAGAGGAACAATGGGAAAGAAGTTAAGATTTATGACAGAGTGTGGAATTTGTGTTATAGAACATTTTTTGGGGAGAATGTAGGAAATATGTGTGACATTTTTATGCAGGTTTGGTTGAACAAGGTATCAAGGTTAGTCAGTCTCATTCCTGTTAAGTTTGTGCTAGAGGAAAATCATATTTATTTATATCTGGTTGGGTCGGTGAAGCTCCTGGTGCTAAACCGAAAAGTCATGAGTTCGGGTAGATGAAGCTTGATGAGAACAGGAACTAGTCTAGGAAAAAAACTCTAAAAATCAAACAACGGCTACCTTGTTCTTGGATGGGCAAAGGCTATGAAGCAAAATCACAAAGAAAAAACAGGCTGAGATCAGAGTCAACAGCCTTTACAGAGCATAACTTGACATGTAACACAATTGTGATGAAGAATTCCGCCCCAAAATTACAATTAAGAATGAAAAAGAAGATATGCTGAATGCTTTAGCATTTTCTTATGTGTTCGTGACATCTTTGTATTCAAGTCTTAGTAGGTCCAGGTAGTACGCCAGACTATTACTAGTGTAACTGGATGTTAGAACTCAATGCAACTCAAAGTAATAGCTTGACGTCAACACTATTAGATGATGTGTAATTGTGTAAAGCTATTTTTTAATTTAATAAATAAATCAGCTCATGAAAGCGATTTTTCAGAGTGTGCATAATTGTTCATGTCATTTAAGCTGCAAAGTTAAATTACAAATTTCATTTATTTATTTAATACTACTGTTCATGAAACATTGTTTTATTTAATACTCATCTTTTTAGGTCATAATTAGTTAATTATGCTGTATTTCCCTTTTAAGATTATATTAATTGAAAAAATGAGGTAAATCAGAATTAGTAAAGGGCAGATAAATAAATAAAAATAAAAATTACGTTGAGTTATAGTAGTATATAGGTTAGTCATACACTATAAAGCTGGCATATCAAGTTTGATAAAAATAGAATTAAAAAGAAACAAATCTTACTGATGCCCATCCACAGCCAGACCTTTTTATTGGATTGACTAATCTTTTACAGTGTAGAGCCCATGCACTTGGAGTGTTAAACTCTTCTTGAGATCCTTGGGGCCATTTAATTTTTCCATTTTCCAACAAGTCTGCTTCAAATCTCTGACCCTAGATGAAATGGTTTTTTATAATTTTATTATTATAGGCCTACATCTGATCTTTTTTTAAATAGCATTTACTTACCTCCCTTAAAAGAAATTAAATTTTTTACTGCAACAAATTAAACAGCAGTAAAATTAATTTCTTTCATGAATGGCACTAGCTTTTAAAATATTTAATTTGACAATTTTATTTATTAAAATAAATAGGTAAGATAATGAAAATGAAAACAGGGATAAAAACAGATCATAAACTCTGTATAAATTCTACACTAATTTAAAAACGTTTAGGAAAAAGACTGTAATGAAACTCATGATCACTAACTACAAAGAAAAAAATATATGGGGATGGCATGTTGGATGGCAGTGTACGAATGCTAACCTTAAAGTTATCTATCTCATCAAATGTAGAAGCTAATGAAACAGTTGAACTCTACTTCATTAGGTTCAAAAAGGGTACTAAGTTTTATTTAAAAAAAATTTTTTAACAAAAATAATAGATTTTAAAAGACATAATAAGAGATCATTACTAAACAAGCTCAAAGAAAAATGAAGACTATTCAGTTACCAAATAATCTATTGATAAAACACCTTCTCCTGGTTTTATAATCCCATCATCCATCAATGTGGTTAAAGTAACACTACGGCAAGTAATTGCTTGTTTAGCTTTCTGTAAAGAGTCTTCTTCCTCCTCTCCTGAGGTTTCCTCCATTTCATCTTCACCTTCGTCAACCTCTTTGACTATGGTGTCAATATTATCATCATCAACAGATTCCTGGTCTAAAATTAGATAAAAAAAGTAAAGGGACTGATAGTGACGTAAATTGAAACATAGGAATTTTTCCATATAATAGGCAACTTATTGCTGTTGTTGGCAACATTCTTTTGAAAAAAAAAAATCAAAGTCCATTGCGCGAGAGGTCGCTAGATATTAAGACGACTTTTGCTTCTTTATAGCGTTGGAAAGGGGCCCACAATCCATTGTGATTTTACAATGTAAAATGTACTATCCTGTATTCGACAAATAATCATAAAGAATATAATAACAATAATTTTGGTTTTATGTTTGTTTACTTATTTTGTTTTACAAAATATGTGATAGTAATCATTTGAATTCTCTCCCTTGGATGTTTTAAAATAAGGCTTTATGAAAAGTAGTTGAGACAGACCATCCCAACTTCGGTACCGATAGATAGAAAGAAGCACATCAGCATTTTGATGTCCCCTTTATTTAAGCTGATTTCTCTGACCCCCCCCCCCCCCCCTCCCCCCACCCTAACCCCCCACCCTCCTAGCTAGCCTTATACATGTTTTATACTTATTTATAGGAAGTGTTGTGGTTTAGGTTAGTACTAATTATTAATTTATTTACGCCTACTTAATACTTATTAATTTTTTGGATAATGTGTTAGACCTGTCTTCAGCTAGATCTAGATCCAATATGTTCCAATGAAACATGCTGGGGAGCATGTTTAAGAACAATTCCATTTACACCCAACAATACTCCAAATTTTTATCATAGATTAGTATCAAGTAATAGTATCATTCATTTGTAATATTACAGGGAGAAATAAGAAGCTTATATATTATATATCTACTAATACTACTAAATTCTATTAAAAGTACTGGTCTAGATCTTGAAAAAAAAATTAGACCAACCCATTTTGATATTCTTCCTTGTGCCAAGAATGAAAAATAAAATCAAATTGAATAGGTCTAGATCTCTAGCTACTTTGTTAAATCTTCTTAGCCATGAAGTTGACTTTGGTCAACTATTCTAATTCTAAGACTTTGGCCTAGTTTTAGTAGGCCCTCTATTATTTATTTATTATTTAGCAATTAAAATAGTATAGGCCACTAGATCTAGAATAGATTCATCCTGCAGTTATGGCAGTATTATAGTTAATAAAAATAGTATACTAAGTTATGCTAAATATCTAATCTAGCTCATGCATGTAATCAAGTACTAAAGAAAGATCTAGATGTAAATGTTAATGTAGTTAAATGTAGTGTTACTGTAGTCTAGATCTCTAGATTCTAGTAGAAATACTTTATTAGTAGATCTAGATTCTAAATCTAGAGATCTAGTACTAACTAGATCTAGAGTGTAGTACTAGTAGTAGTAGAGTTAAGTAGAGAGAGTAGAGCGTAGTGTAGAGTACTGTACAGTGAGGAGATTTTATAAGACTAAGAGTAAGACTAAGACAGGCTAAGACAAGAAGAGTAAGATTGAAGAAGAGACTGTTCAAGAGAAGATCCAGTTTTTGTTCAGGCTGATGTTTCGTATCGACTAGCAACACTGCAACAGCTAGATCAGATGATCTATCTAGAACTAGAAGATCTAAATATAAATCTAAGGCCTTTACTAGATAATATAGATATATTATATCTAGATCTATTTGCATGTGAATGTAGATCTAGATCTAGATCTAGACTGCAGAGTAAAAAAATCTAGCAGAGGCCTAAAATAAAGCTCAATAGTCAATATAGAATACAGTCTGGAAGTGTAATTACTAATCTTTTTAAGAGGAGATCTACAAAGACGCCTAGCTCAAGAAGGACATAGTATTTGACGAAACAAACAGTGGGCGAAACTGTCTTGGGAGTAAATAGTAATCAGTATCTTAGCTTATGGGGGGGGGGGAGATAGACAGTTGCCACAGGGCGTTGACCCTTGAAATTTATTTAATTTATATAGAAAATATATACTTCTAACAGTGTCCGCCCTCCCCCCCCCCCGAAGAAAGTCTACCGCCCCCCCCCCCCCCCGAAAATTTCAAGTACCCCCCCCCCCCCGGAGAAAAAAGTCTGGAAGAAACACTGAATAAAAACAACACATTTAAGCTGCAGAATTGTCAAAGCTAAGAAAATAGGCGGATACACGGCTTTGCACACTGATTTAACTGTTTTCTATCTTAAATGTTAAACAAATACCCCAAAGAGCCAGTGAATAGTATAAACTGCTCACCATCTTTTCCAGAGAAAGGGTGAGTGCGCCGGATCGGTGAAAAGATAAAGTGATTAACACTTAGAGAGGAAAACAACAATTGTATTAACGCATAATATACGGCTGTGTAACAGTAAAGCAAATATCCATAAGAGTCAGTGACCGATAAAAGCCTCTCCCCAGCATTTTCCAAAATTTTCCTCATAATGCTGCAATTTTCAAATTTCATATTGCAGTTTTCATATAGATCTAGATCTAGTCAAGTCCAGGAACAACTTCTGACTACGGTACAACAGGACGACTGGCATATAAAAAAATATTAATTTATTATTCCGAAATATCATTTCTAATGCAAAAGAAAATATCTTTACTTTTAAAAACCTGCAATATGTTTTATTGATTAGTTTAGATTACACAGTTTGGCGAAACAAAGTCTTTTTTTTGTCGGAGATGATCGGTGCCTACTGACGTACCTGTTCGCCATATATAGATGATATGTATAATATTTCGCTAAACAAATGTAACTTTTTTGAATAAAGGGTTTAAGACTAACTATACAATTAATCTTAGTGGTTTTAATCATACCATATTTCTCTATATCATCTAAGCTACGTTATACAAACATTAGCCTATTATAAAAAAAAAACCCACCATTATGAGTGTAATAGGGCCTCAATATAGATCTATGAATAATAATTTTTAGCGCAATTTCCATACGGACAATTGCGATTATTAACTCGTCAAGGATGTGTGTCCGATGTGTGTCCGCAGCTTTAAGTCGTATCTCCTCCTCAACGAAGCAATATCGAGGACTAGTTCCAAAGCAAATATGTTAAGCAAGTTCCGAGAATGATTGTGGGCCAAAAAAATTCCCGGAATTCCTTCCTGGATTTCCAGGAAAAGCCAAAAAACCTCGGAAAAAATGCAGTTTTTGGCCCATATCTCGGCAACCAGATCACTTAGCGACTTGAAACATTTACCAATCGATTCCTGCCATAATTTAGAACAATATTGCCGAAGAAAGTTTTCAAAAATATCCTTCCGTACGGTCACACATTTTTTTTTAAAATTAGATAAACACCTACAAACCTATCGTTCTCCTAGCTTGAACGCACCCCAGCATTATACGTCTCAAACTTGATCACTATCTATTTTTAGATAACATAAGAAAATTGCGCTTAAATTGTAACTAGACTTTTTATTAACTTGTTTTTATATTGGCCTAAACTAAATAATTCTTTGTTGGGTTTTCTAGGAAATTCGGTTGCTTTTTTTATATAAATTTTTAGAAAGAAAGCACTGAAATAACTTTTTTTTACATTTTCAGCTGCCTAATCCACTACTTTTAATACACTTTCTGTTTATTAAACAGTAATATCGAGTCGAGCGGTAGAAATATTTCCGTAGGTGTGTGTGGTTACATTTCGTTTGTTTCGGATCTAATCTAGATCTAGATGTAAACAAGATGGCATCGACGCTGGATTCACAACTTGGAAGAGAGTTAGAGAAGCAAGAGCTTGAGGTTGGAATAAGTTAGCCCATAGAGAGTATGGAGCTATGATTCTCTCTTTTAAACATTATTCTAAAATTTGTTTGTTAATCTATCGTTTAAGGTGCGTAAAATCGGCCAAGGCTATAATTATAATGTACATAAAAGCCGGTAATCTATCGTTTTAGGTACGTAAAATTGGCCGCAGCTAGTAATGTGAAAAACAGGTGACTCCTTACATTTTAATAATTATTTCACATTTTGATGAGGATTTATGTTTTGAAAAATACAAAAATGTTTCCTTGTTTCATTTATGTACCTGTTTTTAAACAATTGAATTAAAACTTTTCAGTAATAAATGAACACCAGCGATGTTTCCAACAGATGCAACCACGCTCATTTACTATAGCAGCCATCTTGTTTAAGTTTTATTTTTATAGACATAGCGCGAGATTCAGGCGGAAGTCACTCTATTTTACAAATGGCTGCTGTTTATATAGCAAATCTTGCTTGCAGACACAGCTGTTTAAAGTTAATTTCTGGCCTATATTGATATATTTAGCCATTGATTTAGGTTTATTATTCATTTATCTATAATATTTGACACAAACATATCACAATATACTTCTATTACAGCCTTGACAATGAGGTAACGTTTTCGTACATTAATAGCCGCGGGCGATTTTACGTACCCAAAACGATAGATTACCTAAAAGCCAAGGCTATTCCCAGCCGGTTGGGAATATCCGTGCCGTTTGGGGCTATTCCCAGCCGACTGTGAATAGCCCCAATACGGCTATTCACAGTCGGCTGTCATTTCATGCTAAATACGACTGTGAATAATATTTTAAAATAAAAAAAAAGCATTTATTGTGACTGGGAAATGAGATATAGATCGAGAGAGCAGTGCTATTTTTATTTTGTTATATTTTTATAAAAAAGTTATTAGGCCTACGGCCTACGGTTAAAGTTTAGCTTAGCTTTTAGGCTCATATCAGACATATCTGCTACAGGCTACGTCTACGTACTACATTCGTCATAGACGATCAATTATGCACTCTAAATCTATACACTAGAATAATTATAATAGATCTAGTAATTTTAAAATAAATAATACCAGTTAAGCATCAGTTTAGTTGGTTGTTCACATTGCTATTCAACTATCAATTACCATTAAAAATTCACATTAAAAATTCACATTATCACATATAATAAATATAGGTGAAATAGGATGTCCTTTTTCATCAGCTATAATTCATAGTTTCCATCACACGTTTGCAGAGGCGTAGCGATGGGGGGGGGGGGGGGCAGGGGGGTACATATGTTCCCGGGCGCCGACATTAGTGGGCGCCAAAATGGGTTGTAAAAACAAATTGAAATATCATTTTAGCTGCATTTTTGCATTATAAATAGTTTTAGAGGGGGGGGGGTACAAATCGAAAGATTGAGAGGGGTACAAATCGAAAAATTGGGGAGGGGGTGCCAAATTGAAAGTTTGTCCCCGGGCGCTGGGAAGAGTCGCTACGCCTCTGCACGTTTGTGTTTTTTCTCTTAGAAAAAATCTACAGGACAGGTCTTTTTTGTTTTATTTTTGCTGATATGTCAACAATTACGTCACAAACGAAAAAAAAATAACAAATTTAACTCTCACATGAGTAACTCAAGTAACTGAAAAAAATATTTTGATAATAACATTAAAAGGCATACATTAAGAGTAATAAGATTAAAAGGCACACATTATGAGTCTTAGCATTATGTCATCTGATGGATTTGAACCAGCACCTTCTGGCATGACAGCCACTGCCCATGATCGCACGACTACACATCTTCATGCCCAGTTGGGTATTTTTAACATTAAATCTATTAAAAACGGTCACGACTGAATAGCCCCAATACGGCTATTCACAGTCGACTGTGAATAGACACTTCGGTACAAAAAAAGGTAATCTAAAGTACTTCTAACTTCTAGCGTTTTGGGTACGTAAACTACTAAAATCGCCCGCGGCTAGAAATGTGCGAAAAAGTTACCTCACTGTCAAGGCTTTAATAGAAGTATATTGTGATATATTTGTTTCAAATATTATAGATAAATGAATAATAAACCTAAATCTGGCTAAATATATCAATATAGGCCAGAAATTAACTTTAAACAGCAGTGTTTGCGAGCAAGATTTCCTATATAAACAGCAGCCATTTGTAAAATAGAGTTGCCTTCCCCTGAATCTCGCGCTATATTCTGCTATAAGTTTGCAAAAAAAGAACTTAAACAAGATGGCTGCTATAGTAAATGAAATGAGCATGGTTGCATCTGTTGGAAACATCGCTAGTCTTCATTTATTACTGAAAAGTTTTTATTCAATTGTTTAAAAACAGGTACATATATGAAACTTTGAAGCATTTTTGTAAATTTCAAAACTAAAATCCTCCTATAAATGTGAAATAATTATTAAAATTTAAGGAGTCACCTGTTTTTCACATTACTAGTCGCTGGCGATTTTACGTACCCAAAACTATAGATTACCGAAAAAGTTGCCCCATCATTCATTGTTATAAATTACGAGATGAATGGCCCATTGGGGAAGGATACAACGGGCGCTAGGTTTATAGTGTTGTCTCTTTTCTCTAAACCAAGACCAAAATCACCCCCTTAACTTTAAATTGAACCGGAAATTGAAAAAGGACATTTTTATTCAGAATCTGCATTTTAATCGGATGTAAGCTTGTTGTACACTTAGTTACTGCACATTGATACTAAATATAGTCGTAGCCATATCCCCAAACCATGAACCTAATCTCAATCATGACTTAAGTCGCATTTAGAGTTTCTTTCAGGCAACAATACTTGGGGGGAGAGGGGGTTCTGCCCCCCCCCCCCCCCCCCCCCACACACACACAAACACCCCAAAGCATGTCTACCGTCCCATTCAACAAAATATATTAATATAATTATATACTTTTTCCAGTGTCCGCCCCCTCCCAGAAAATTTAGTCCACCTCAGCCCCTGAAAATTTCAAGTACCCCCCTCCCCCCTCCTCCGGGAGGAAAAAGCTTGAAAGATACATTGGTCGCATTTGTAGATCATACAACCTAAAGGTAGAGCCTGTGAGGGGCTTTTCCCCTACCAGAAGAAATGCATGAAAGAAACTGTGCACACATAACACTTTTAAGATTAGAACATTCAAAGTACCCCATTCCAGTAAAGGAAAAAGTCTGAAAGAAACACTGGTCGCACTTCCGAGGGTGGGAGGCTTCGCCCCTACCCTAAGAGATAAATGAAAGAAATTCTTCACACAAATCATTTTTAGATTAGACACATGAATTGGGCGGTAATTTTATTATGGACGACATTTCTATTGAGTGGGGGGGGGGGAGTGGCTTAGACGTTCTTACGCGGGGGTGGGGGCTTCGCCCCTACCCGAAGAGTTGTATGAAAGAAACTCTTCACGCAAACCACTTTTAAGATTAGACAAAATTGGCTTTTTAATTCAATGTTTACTCGAGAATCAATGACGTCATATTATTGTGTGCACTCCCCCGGCTTTAACTTTAGTCTATTTCCTACTATATTATATGCTCCATGTAACGTCATGGTTCGTTTTCGTTTTCCTATGAAAGTTTTTACACTGCTTGTGTTTTCTCTATAGCGTTCTTGACAGATAGATAGATACAGAGACAGCGAAACTATTATTATAGATAATAATTTTATAAATATTTATGTTATAAAAGTTACAGAAATGTTTCAACCCTGTATTCTTATTAAAATTACAACTTTTCAGTAATAAACAAAGATTAGCGATGTTTTCATCCTATGCAACCCAGCTCATTTACTTAAGAAGCCATCTTGTTTAAGATTTCCCATACTAATTGTGGCATTATTGGACACTGAACTAATATTATTGTGACTGTGAGAGGATGGAACCACTTGGTTCACTACCATGCGAGAATAGGCAGTCATTGTGCCATTACACATCTAGACAACACAGGTGACAATAAATTGACCAGATGAAAATTTAGGTTTTCTCTTCTGGTATTTATTCTGGTACTGGACTCATAGGTTCTGCTTATAGTTGTCATCTACATGGATGTCTCACGAATCACTCTCACGACAGAGTCACATCGGTCAACATTCACCTTTCATCAAGATGATCAAGATCACACTAACTCACACACAAATGTACAGCAACCAGTTTCTACACAAAACTTCACTATCACACTATAGTGTCCCATCTTCATTTGCTCAACATACATGCGCACCAATATTCACTTCCACCAACCTATATTGAGAACATGCATCACAACAAATATCATAAACAAGCTGACCTGCGGTGTATCATACGCCGCTGTTTAGTTGTTTTATTTTCTACTTTTCAGTAATTCATAATTTGTGAATTCGACAGTACCAACGCAGCCACTGAAAATATTTGCTTTAAAACACTATCAGTAGCTTGTTAAGGAAGATAACCCCCCCCCCTCCTTTCCCCAACCCCTAACCCCCCCATTAAAGTAAACTCCTCTTAGTTACCTCCCCTAACTTTAAAATAGTTTCAAACTAAATTATCTGCCCCTAATAGTCGTCACTAAACCCGGCTGTGCAATTGCAGACATTCAGCGTGAACCACAGCTCACCAGACCATGTAGGGGTGGGGGTGGTAGGGAGCGTGCTTACAGCTTGTTTTCTATCGTCTCCAAGAAGAGAATTGTATATATAGATACATTATTAAAGACCGCAAAAAAAAAAAGATTGGGTGGCCACATCTTTCGACTTTGACTGCCTATTAATTTGGATTTACAGAAATAGTTGCTTAGATTAATGTCAACAGGGGTAGCTGTCCATGGCCCTGCTGTTGAAGGTGCTCCACACTTCATAAAAATATAATTGACATTCAGCAATTAAGCAAATAATTAAGCAAATTATATTTCTAATATTTGACAATAAAAAATCTGTATAAGGCCAAACATCATAATAATTTTATTATTAATTATAGTTTGGTGGTTCAACCTTGTCACCTGTTGTGTACTGTCAGCTCTTGGCTGTTTATCTATTGCAAAATGATTTGTAAGTACATTTTTTACTGTAATCTATCATTGAAAGTTTTCTCATAAATCAAATGTATTTCTTTGTTGAGTATAATCTTAACCAAATTTTTTATTTTAGGTGCAATGCAAAGTTTTTGTGGAAGCGTATCCCACTGCCAGTGAAGCAGGTAATTCACACAATATAGAAATCACCTTACTCAGTGTTAATATGGGGAAAAAAATGTGTACAATAACGATACTTCTTCTATAGTAATACAATTTAAGAATTTTTTTTTTTTTATGAATGCTGAGCTTTTAAGTTAACTTAAAATTTTGTTATTTAAATATAAATATGTTAAAACATTACATTTATTTATCTAGGATTACTGTATGTCTTATTTTACAGCTGACTTGTTTATAAAATTAGTAAAATACTTTTCTGCAGAAAATATACAACTAAAATAAAAAAAACACCATTGAAAAATATACTAGTGCAGTTTCCATCAATTTTTCATTTTCCAAAAGCTACTCCCATAAATATTTGTTACTGTCAATCTTTGTTTATTGTTGTTTATAAGAAAATAAATTATGATTTTTAGTAGTTGTTTAGGGTTTTAGGAATCCTGAAACTGACATTTTATTTTATTGTTTAATGGATCAGTTGTGGTCATATCATCAGTTAATTGATTGCTGAATCAGTTGTGGTCATATCATCAGTTAATTGATTGCTGAATCAGTTGTGGTCAGATTATTAGTTGCACACATTTTATTGATTTGATGTATCAGTTGTGGTCAGATTTATGAATTTCACACATTTTATTTATGGATGTATCAGTTGTGGTCAGATTATATTACTAATTTCTTATAATGCAGTTGAAGTATTTTGTTACCAGTTTTTAAAAGTCTATGGTTATGTCACGTTTTTGATTTCCTCTTCATTTTAATCTCTAAGAGCTGTGCAGAATTAAGCCTGATATGGGTTGTAGCACAAAAAATGTGGCAGAAAGACTATGTGGGAACTTATGAGGCATTACAAAAAGAATGGTCAGAGGATGTTAAAAGCATAATGTTGGCTGTAGAAGGTAGTTAAAAACGGTTCTTTTTAATAAAACCTTTAAGTATAATGTTACATAATGTATTTTGATTTCTATTATTTTTCCAAAAATAGTCTTCTTTAGAACCTGGTGGTTAAGAGGGCAGATGAAGTAGAGTTCATCTTTCTGTGCCTTCTGCTTATAATGGAATAGTATTGTCAGTTCTATGTCCATGTACTTTTACTGCCAGGTACCCATCACAGCTAGGTGGACTAATTGAGTATCTAATATTTGGAGATGCAATGTTTTCTCCAACTAGCAGGATTACAAATTGACAGATAAATTGTTTCTATTGTGTCTTTTTTTTTTTTTTTGCAATGTTCTTGTTTGTTTATTTCCCACTCAATTTATTTTGTTACTCCTCTTTTGACAGAATCGATGCGAAATCGTGCATTAAGACTTGTTCGATTAGCATATTCTTCTATAAATGCTGATGAATTTGCCACATTTGTTGGGATGCCAGTAGACAGAGCTGTTCAAGGTTGAGTATGAGTACTGTATACAAAATAAAAAATTAAGCCTATGTCAGTTTTCATAAAGTCAAAAATGTCTCAAATCAATTTTCAATTAATTTTACTTACTACTAGATGGATACTAACTTTTGCTGTGTGAAGCATCACTTGAACTTTGGTCATATTAGGATATGTAGAATGTTTTATTGTACATGGTAATTTTAAATATCATTTAGTTAAATTGCGTTTTATTTTTCTGTTACATTCAACAGCTGCTGTTGAAGAAGGATGGGAAATGGATTCCAACAACAGGATAATCACACCCAAGAAACTAGGTAAATAATGTAATGATATTTATTACCAGACCACAAGTTTGTCATTTTATGCCATGCTGTTTGTAAAGTGTACTAATTGCTTATATCATGTACATTGTCATTCTATGCCATGCTGTTTGTAAAGTGTACTAATTGCTTATATTATGTACATTGTTATTTTATGCCATGCTGTTTGTAAAGTGTACTGATTGCTTATATCATGTACATTTATTTTCAGAGCCTCCCCCTGCCCCACCCATACTCAATGAACAACACCTCTCAGTCTTAACACAGTATGTAACGTTCATGGAGAACTGACACATCGGAGATTTTGTTTGTGTGCAGCTATCTACTCATTGGTTAATGTGTATGGTTTATCGACCTTCATCAAGGGATGTTACATCTCATTGAACACTAAACAATGAGAAAATGTGCTTGTAAAATTAACTAGGAAACCATTTCCACCATGTGTACAGCATTGTATTTTTTCCATTAAAGTTTTGAAAGTTGTTTGACTTTGTTCTTGGTAGTATCTTTAAACATATGTACACAAGAGGAGAGTTAGGTCAATAATACAACAATCCCACTTATCATTTGGTTGGCTAGGCCATTGTCTCTCCCTAAATCTTTTCATAACTTTACAAATTAAAATATATAATCAATAAAACTTGTTAATTATACAACTTAACAAGATCTTAAAAGGTACTTTTCACCTAAAAGTTTGGGGGAGGGGCTATTACAAAAGAGGATATATATAGCTAGTCGTGGTGACTATGAGACAGGCGAACTGTTTAGTAAATGTTAGATCAGAGATATCCCCTAATAACAGGCAAATAGTAGGTATACTGTTAATAAAGCACAAGCTACTCATTGAATTGATAGTAACTATTTTTAGTTTGGAGTCATTTCAACTTAATGAAAATTATGCTCCTGTAAGAACGGTTTTTAACAACTAAATATTTTTTTTTGTAAACCTACTATTTTGACTAATAAAGTCAAATTTATCAAGTTTTTAAGTACATCATAAATAAGAAATAAACAATTTCATAATGGCAAAAGATATAGAATTTCAATGGTTTTGTCAGGATTAATTTAAAAAAAAAACAACAAAGTAAATAATAAGATGATTTTGACTATTTTATTTAAGAAACTATTTTAGAAAAAAATACTGCGCTAGATTCATACCAGTACATATTAAATTAATATGTTTGTATATAACAGCTATCATATTGAAATAAGTTTATCTTACTTTTTATAAATTGGATGCTACATGCATGTTTGACTAAACTGTATTGGTAAAACACATGGCTAAACAGCTTTATGGTTTGATAAATTGGATGCTACATGCATGTTTGACTAAACTGTATTGGTAAAACACATGGCTAAACAGCTTTATGGTTTGATAAATTAGATGCTACATGCATGTTTGACTAAACTGTATTGATACAACACATGGCTAAACAGCTTTATGGTTTGATAAATTGGATGCTACATGCATGTTTGACTAAACTGTATTGGTAAAACACATGGCTAAACAGCTTTATGGTTTGATAAATTAGATGCTACATGCATGTTTGACTAAACTGTATTGATACAACACATGGCTAAACAGCTTTATGGTTTGATAAATTGGATGCTACATGCATGTTTGACTAAACTGTATTGGTAAAACACATGGCTAAACAGCTTTATGGTTTGATAAATTGGATGCTACATGCATGTTTGACTAAACTGTATTGGTAAAACACATGGCTAAACAGCTTTATGGTTTGATAAATTGGATGCTACATGCATGTTTGACTAAACTGTATTGATACAACACATGGCTAAACAGCTTTATGGTTTGATAAATTGGATGCTACATGCATGTTTGACTAAACTGTATTGGTTAAACACATGGCTAAACAGCTTTATGGTATGATAAATTGGATGCTACATGCATGTTTGACTAAACTGTATAGGTACAACACAATTTTAACTGGCCAGATGTGAATATTATTAGATTGTACTTGTACGTTAGAAATTAGTTACACAATATGTTATGTATTTACATGCAGAGGTCAATGCGGTTGTTTAGCGTTAGGATAAAACTCAATTTTAGGGTCCAACACGGAGTAGTGCATCGAACCATTTCAATCACATTATCGATTCAGTTCAATCAAATATCGAACCATTTCAATCAAATATTGAACCAGCTCAATCAAATATAACTAGATCTAGTATGGGCGCAGTTTTATCAACTTTCATCGAACCAGTTCAATCAACTACAATAACTAGATCTAGCATCAAACCAGTTAAATCAAATACAATAACTAGCATGGAACCAGTTCAATCAAATATGATAATTAATTACTATAATGGCATCAAACCAGTGCAATCTAACTAATGACTGCTTCTCCCTATTTCAATATAATTAGAACTACTTTATTTATGTTAGCTTTACTTTGTAAATATCAGAATATGAGCTATTCACACAAGCATAAATAATGAAGATATTTGACTTGTCTTTAAAAACTTCCACGTCAGCGTTAGGTGGTGTGTACATGCTGTGTACTTGAACAAATTTATCCAAGCCTTGCCACCGATACACAGGAGAGAGTTGTCTTTCTTTGAGGCCATCACTCTGGGAGTTGGAGACGAACAGATAGTGTTCGTTTTCTATTTTTAGATACTCCCAGTCTATGGCGCTGATAGGTCCGTACGACAAAAAAAAAAAATGAATAAATTATAACAAGCAATAGTTTTAGTTCAAATGTAATTGAAGAATTGGTCGCTACAATAGCAAGAGATTTTGCTAGTGGTATGCCTTTAAAGAAAGCAAATTGGTTTTATTAATTCAAAAAATATTTCAGTGCGTTTTAAAGCTAATTATTAATAGTTAATAGGCCTATATTGTTTTTCAAATGTTTGTTTTATTTATTTAAATATTTGTTTTATTTTCTACATTTTAGTAATTCAACACACAAGTAAAATTATTGACTACGAGCTGACCCGCGACGTAGCATATGCCGCTATTTAGTTGTTTTATTTCCTATTTTTCCTATTTTGTGAATTCAACACTACCAATGCTGCGACTGAAAATATTTAGCTTTAAAACACTAGCTAGTGAAGGACGATTAACCTCACCCTCATTTTCCACCTCTCTCCCCTCCCCCGTGAGAGCAGCCATCCGTGACGACAGTTTACAGAAGAATGAAAAGATCAGGCAAGACGTATTATTACCTCCCCTTAGTTTCAAATAGTTTAAAAACTAAATTATCTGCCCCTAATAGCCATCTCTAATTCGACCCGATAGTAACCAGCTCACCAGACTGGTGGGGGTGGGGGTGGTCGCATTATGGTCTGTTGAGCTTACGTCTTGGTGGTGTCTCTCATGGTTTCATGAAGAGAATTATATATAGAGATAAGAACACGAGCTGTAGTTTGCGAGATATAAAAGACGATTATCTGCGCCTTGTTAGCTCGCGATCGACTCTCAGGCAAGAAACCAGCCAGCCATGAAAAAAACAACAGCTCGTCGTCGTCTGTTAGCAAATCGAGTGATCGCGATTTCCCTTTGATTGATTATTAAGTTTAGTCATCTTTAATTTCTATCACTAATATAATCTCCATGCACTGTAATTGGAAAAGACTGTATCTGGAAAGTGAATGCATTCTCTTCGTTAGAGGTGAATTAAAATTTAGTTAAACGATTTGTCACCAGCGTTTCTTTCAGGCATCTCTTCTGTGTGGGGGAGGGGTATGGGTGGAAGTGGAGTGGAACACTGCCAAGTTCACCACCCCCTCCCCCGGATGAAAAAATAATAATGTAAATAGAAAATTAAGCCTATAATTTTAATCAGCCCCTCCTCCTCCACCCCCTTACGGAAATATCACGTCAATACTAGGTCACGTGATTAGGCTAAAAAAAAACAAGGAAGCGAATCAGTACAAACCTGTCCGTGCTCAGCTGTTGGTAAGTGACAAAACGGTTTAATGAGCGGTCCAGTTTGTAAATGGTCGAATTGGTTCTGTAGTTGTCCAAGTTTAGAAAATTTCGGTTGCCGTAATTGTAAGCATTGGCCACCACTATGTAGTGCTCGCTGGCAATGACGAAATGCTCCCAGTCCGTGGCACCGGTTGTCTGAAGTTAGAACAAGTGGCAGCTGATGAACTTAGCGGTGGAGCATCTTTTCTACAGATAAGCTTATATCAGGTTATAGATATATTAGACAACTTGACTTTATGACAAATTAGAGCGGCATTATTACATTAGACAACTTGAGTTTATGAAAAACTAGAGCGACATTATTACATTAGACAACTTGAGTTAATGGCAAATTAGAGCGGCATTATTACATTACACAACTTGAGTTTACGACAAACTAGAGCGACGTTATTACATTAGACAACTTGAGTTTATGACAATCTAGAGCGGCATTATTACATTAGACAACTTGAGTTTTTGACAAACTAGAGCGGCATTATTACATTAGACAACTTGAGTTGTTGCTTTCCTTTTCAATTTTGGACATTGAATAAATGACACATCTACCATAGTACACGTACGACTATCGACGAGCTTCACTTTGACACCATCAACATAGATGACTTTGACACCATCAACATAGATGACTTTGACACCATCAACATAGATGACTTTGACACCATCAACATAGATGACTTTGACACCATCAACATAGATGACTTTGACACCATCAACATAGATGACTTTGACACCATCAACATAGATGACTTTGACACCATCAACATAGATGACTTTGACACCATCAACATAGATGACTTTGACACCATCAACATAGATGACTTTGACACCATCAACATAGATGACTTTGACACCATCAACATAGATGACTTTGACACCATCAACATAGATGACTTTGACACCATCAACATAGATGACTTTGACACCATCAACATAGATGACTTTGACACCATCAACATAGATGACTTTGACACCATCAACATAGATGACTTTGACACCATCAACATAGATGACTTTGACACCATCAACATAGATGACTTTGACACCATCAACATAGATGACTTTGACACCATCAACATAGATTACTTTGACTTCACCAACATAGATGACTTTGACACCATCAACATAGATGACTTTGACACCATCAACATAGATGACTTTGACACCATCAACATAGATTACTTTGACTTCACCAACATAGATGACTTTGACACCATCAACATAGATGACTTTGACACCATCAACACATATGACTTTGACTTCACCAACATAGATGACTTTGAGCACAGTATACGAGAAGGGGCCAGAGTGTATATGGTTGTCGCCCCTACCCAGCAGGAAAGACGAGTGGTAAAGACATAGAACTTTGATCAAACAAAATAGACACAGAGAGGACGAGTGGTAAAGACATAGAACTTTGATCAAACAAAATAGACACAGAGAGGACGAGTAGTAAAGACATAGAACTTTGATCAAACAAAATAGACACAGAGAGGACGAGTGGTAAAGACATAGAACTTTGATCAAACAAAATAGACACAGAGAGGACGAGTGGTAAAGACATAGAACTTTGATCAAACAAAATAGACACAGAGAGGACGAGTAGTAAAGACATAGAACTTTGATCAAACAAAATAGACACAGAGAGGACGAGTGGTAAAGACATAGAACTTTGATCAAACAAAATAGACACAGAGAGGACGAGTGGTAAAGACATAGAACTTTGATCAAACAAAATAGACACAGAGAGGACGAGTGGTAAAGACATAGAACTTTGATCAAACAAAATAGACACAGAGAGGACGAGTAGTAAAGACATAGAACTTTGATCAAACAAAATAGACACAGAGAGGACGAGTAGTAAAGACATAGAACTTTGATCAAACAAAATAGACACAGAGAGGACGAGTGGTAAAGACATAGAACTTTGATCAAACAAAATAGACACAGAGAGGACGAGTGGTAAAGACATAGAACTTTGATCAAACAAAATAGACACAGAGAGGACGAGTGGTAAAGACATAGAACTTTGATCAAACAAAATTGTAATAGATTGAGATAATTGTGAGGTCAGGGGAACTCACTCTTCTGTATTAGTATTATATTTATATTGTTATCTTGAGTGATGTCCCTTACATGTTATGTATAAATAGTTGTCTCTCGCCACTTCCTTCCTCTTTCCATCATGGCTGTAAATAAAGACTGTTAACACCAATGTGGCTCCTCGTCAGTGATTACAATCTTTCACATTGGCGACGAAGGATAAACATCTACTAGAAAGAGCACCTACTTACGCAAAAAAGAGGTTTGCTAGAGCTTATTAGCTAAGTATTTCTAGAATAATGGCGCTGTATGGCCAAATAAAACAATTTGATTCGAATGATGAAATCATTCAGGATTACCTAGACAGGTTAAGCTTTTACCTAGAAGCTAACAACGTGACGATAGAAGCCAAAAAGAGAGCTGATTTGTTAACAGTCATAGGGCCTCAACAATTTAGGCTACTAAAAGACTTATGCGCACCAGCTAGTCTAACTACCAAGAGCTTTAACGAGCTGAGCAAATTGCTAACAGACCACCATGCGCCTACCCCATCAAAGTTTCTATGTCGAGCTAGATTTGACAGTAGGACTCGTCAACCAAACGAGTCAATATCAGAATATGTTGCTGCTTTACGTCATTTAAGTAGATTTTGTGAATTCGGCGATACGCTGTCTGACAGACTATGTGAAAAGTTTGTGACAGGTGTAAACAGCCCTGATATTCAAAGAAAGTTGCTGCTCGAGTCAGATCTAACATTAGAAAAAGCAATACAACTCGCAACTTTATTCCAGCAGTCATCCGAGGCGGCAAAATCTCTAGCACCTTCAGAGATCCATGCAGTAAACAGCAGGTTAGTCAATAAACATCAACCCCATCAGAGCATTCCAACTTATGCTAAACAGCCTGCTCGTTCAAATCCTAGATCTAAATCTAGTAATAATTATCAAAAATGTCATCGATGCAAAGGTCCCCATGCATCTCATCGGTGCAAGTTCAAGTCTGCAACTTGTTATAAGTGCAGTAAGCAAGGTCACATTGCCAAGGCCTGCTTTGCAAAGTCTTCGTCTGTTGCTAAATCTAGCCAGTCAAGACAGTACCGCAACCAAAAGCAGCACTATGTTAACTCTCACCAAGACTACCTAACCCAACCAATGAACCACTCTACCTGTGAAAATGATCAAACTGATTTGCAGCCGGATTTCAACCTGTTCTCTGTGAAATCAATAAGTCATGCTCCCATCAATGTACTAGTTAATATCAACGGTAAGAGCATCAGCTTCCAACTTGACACTGGAGCATCTCTAACAGTCATCACAAAGAAGGATTTTGACGCTGTCACAGGAGGATCAGTGCCTCTACAACCATGTCACAAGTGTTTAACAACATACACTGGTGACAATGTTCCGGTAATAGGAGAGTGTATGGTTCATGTAAGTTATAATGGTCAAAGTGTTAAACTTCCTCTTCTTGTGGTTGAAGGAAATGGACCACCATTACTGGGTAGGAACTGGTTAAGTGATCTTAAGTTAAATTGGGAGAGTATTTGTTCATTGAAGAATGTAAAAGAATCTAGTCTTACTTCACTAGATAAAGTTATATCTGAAAATAAATGTGTTTTTGGTAACTCTGGATTACTAAATGATAGAACAGTGAAGTTAAGCATTAAAGACACAAATCCAAGATACTGCAAAGCTAGAGTTCCACCTTATGCAATGAGGAATAAAATTGAAAATGAGCTAAGTAGATTGGAATCTAATGGCATTCTAAAGAAGGTAGACTATTCCGATTGGGCAACGCCCATTGTGCCAGTGTTAAAGAAGGATGGTTCTATAAGAATTTGTGGAGATTATAAAACTACACTGAATAAGCAAATAGAGCTAAATAGGTACCCTATACCTAACATTGAGGAAATTTCTTTGAATTTGGCAGGAGGAGACAAATTCACTGAATTAGACTTTAGTTATGCTTACACTCAACTAGAACTGCATCCAGATTCAAAAGTCTATACGACAATAAACACACATAAAGGACTCTACCAATATGAAAGACTATGTTTTGGCATATCATCCAGCCCTGGAATTTTCCAAGCTGTCATGGACAGTATTTTTAAGGATATTCCAAATGTTTGTGTGTACTTTGACAATGTGTACATAACTGGTAAGAATGACACTGAACATCTTAAAACACTTGATAAAGTATTGAAAATTGTTGGTGAAAAAGGTTTAAAGATAAACAAAGATAAATGTCAATTCATGTTGACAGAAATTAGTTTTCTTGGTTATATATTGAGCAAACAAGGCATCAGACCTCAACCTGAGAAAACAAAAGCCATTAAAGAAGCACCCAAACCTGAAAATACCCAACAACTAAGAGCTTTTTTGGGCTTAATAAATTACTATGCAAAGTTCATAGGAAACCTGTCTGGTAAACTATCACCACTGTACAAGCTGCTACAGAAAAATGCAACTTGGCTCTGGGGTAAACAACAAGATACTGCTTTTAATACAGCAAAAGAGGCTTTGTCTTCTGACACCTTACTAACTCACTATGACTCAGGGAAAAGACTTATATTAACATGTGATGCTTCACCAGATGGTGTAGGAGCAGTCTTGTCCCATAGGGATGAGAAGGGTGACAGACCCATTGCTTTTGCCAGTAGATCTTTGAACCAGGCTGAGAAAAATTATTCTCAGTTAGATAGGGAAGGCTTAGGCATCATTTTTGGTGTTAAGAAATTTCATAAGTTTCTGTTTGGTAGGAAGTTCACCATCTTTACAGATCATAAACCATTGCTAGGTTTATTTGAAGGAAACAAAACCCTACCTGAGCATGCCCCACCAAGAATTCAAAGATGGGCTATCACATTAACTGCATACAATTATGAATTGAAATACAAACCTGGATCTGAGAATAGTGCAGATAGCCTTAGTAGATTACCTTTAAAAAACCAGAGCCTGAGCTATGTACCAGAAGATGTATTTGTTCTCTTCACTATCATGGATAACTCCAATATAAATGTGAATGATATTAAGAGAGAAACACAAAAAGATGAGTGCTTAATAAAAGTATATGAGTACTGTAAGAATGGTTGGCCTGAAGAGTCTGTGAATGATGACTTAAGGCCATATAAAATAAGAAATTAAAACCCTTTGTGAAGATAATATAAAAGATGGAGAAGATGCAGTCCATTATCAGTCAGAGTTGCCTAAACAAAGTACTTGTAACTTAATAAATGATTATGGTGATATGGCAATTTCAAATGTTTTAAAGAGAATACATTAGTAAGAAGGAATGTGATCATCAAACAACTTTGCTAACATCATTAGCACTTACAGAAACTAAAAGGGTAACATCAAAAGAAAAAAAAAAAGATTTTTGCCATTTAATACTTTCAGATGCCAATTCAAAAATAGTTCCATTAAATCATGACAACTCATGCATTGAAAGAGAATTTGGTGTTAATAAGAATGTGTATCTAAGAAATTATGGGAGAAAGGAAAAATGGATACCAGGTCAAATTGTTCAATGTACAGGACCTGTGTCTTATAAAGTAAAAACAAATGATGGACTTATTGTCCGTAGACATGCAGACCAGTTAAAAATAACTTGTGCAGATAATAAGTGTGAATCTGTCAATCCCACTAAATCTGAACAGTTCACACCAACTCAGTTTGTTCCACAACCAAGTTCTGTTGATATGAGTGAACCAAGTTGTCTGGAGTCAGAAAATGTAAATTTTGGAGTTAATGATTTAAATCCTAGACCTCCTGAGATAGAGAATCCAAATGGTCAGAATATTGAGTCACCAAATCAAAAGCCACTGAGAAGGTCAAGCAGGACAATCAAAGTCCCAAATAAGTTAGACCTATGATTTTAAAGGTCAAAAGGACTTTGACATCATTGTTTTGTATCTTGATTATGTTGTAGCATATTGTGCATTGTTTGTAAGGATGTAATCTACCATAGTGTTCATGTTACAATATAATTGGTGATTTTAGGATACTATCAATTGTTCTATTGAGAGATGTGTTATTGTGTTCTAAGGGTAAAGGGATGTAATAGATTGAGATAATTGTGAGGTCAGGGGAACTCACTCTTCTGTATTAGTATTATATTTATATTGTTATCTTGAGTGATGTCCCTTACATGTTATGTATAAATAGTTGTCTCTCGCCACTTCCTTCCTCTTTCCATCATGGCTGTAAATAAAGACTGTTAACACCAATGTGGCTCCTCGTCAGTGATTACAATCTTTCACAAAAATAAACACAAAGAAGACGAGTGGTAAAGACATAGAACTTTGATCAAACTAAATAGACACAGAGAGGACGAGTGGTAAAGACATAGAACTTTGATCAAACAAAATAGACACAGAGAGGACGAAGACAAAATATGAGGCACCCAAGATTTGTAATTGTATAATGTCTGTTTGGATTTGGCGAATATGGCTGTTGGCAGATGAGATGTGCACTTTCTGAATGTTGAGTTTCTTCTTTTTATAATGTTTTAATTTATTAATTGAGTAAAATTCCAGAAAACGGTCGCATGAAAAGCCACGCGTTTTTCTCGATTAAATGAACAGGCACTTGCACCTAGCCGAGCAACAATGGACTATTCTTAGAACAAGCAGGGCTGAGTACTGTACCTGTATTGATTGGAACAGAACCCATTGTCCACTATGCCAGATATAAACTGATGACAAAATCCAAGTGCTGTTGTTGTCGAAGGCATTAGCTACAACGAGAAAGTGGTACTTGTCTACCGTGAAATGGGTCCAGTCAAAAGCCCCGAGAGTTGGCAGTGACTGAAACTCGATGAACAAGCCAAGCGTAGGGGCCCACTTGTAGACGGTGGAGTTGACGTGGTTGTCATTGTCTTCGTTAGGAGGAAACAAAGGGAGTCGTAGGTTTAAATACCACAGTAGCAGCATACGTCACATTTATAGTGACATATTTATACTTCACATTTATACTGACACATTTATACTGACACATTTATAGTGACACATGTATACTGACACTATACTGACACTATACTGACACATTTATACTGACACATTTATACTGACACATTTATACTGACACATTTATACTGACACATTTATACTGACACATTTATACTGACACATTTATACTGACACTATACTGACACATTTATACTGACACATTTATACTGACACATTTATACTGACACATTTATACTGACACATTTATACTGACACTATACTGACACATTTATACTGACACATTTATACTGACACATTTATACTGACACATTTATACTGACACATTTATACTGACACATTTATACTGACACATGTATAGTGACACATTTATAGTGACACGTTTATACTGACACGTTTATACTGACACGTTTATACTGACACATGTATAGTGACACATTTATAGTGACACGTTTATACTGACAAGTTTATACTGACACATTTATACTGACACATTTATAGTGACACATTTATACTGACACATTTATACTGACACATTTATACTGACACATTTATACTGACACATTTATACTGACACATTTATACTGACACATTTATACTGACACATTTATACTGACACATTTATACTGACACATTTATACTGACACGTTTATAGTGACACGTTTATACTGACACTATACTGACACATTTATACTGACACATTTATACTGACACGTTTATACTGACACATGTATAGTGACACATTTATAGTGACACATTTATACTGACACATTTATACTGACACATTTATACTGACACATTTATACTGACACATGTATAGTGACACATTTATAGTGACACATTTATACTGACACATTTATACTGACACGTTTATACTGACACATTTATACTGACACATTTATACTGACACATTTATACTGACACGTTTATACGGACATGTTTATACTGACACATTTATACTGACACATTTATACTGACACGTTTATACGGACATGTTTATACTGACACATTTATACTGACACATTTATACTGACACGTTTATACGGACATGTTTATACTGACACATTTATACTGACACATTTATACTGACACGTTTATACGGACATGTTTATACTGACACATTTATACTGACACATTTATACTGACACATTTATACTGACACGTTTATACGGACATGTTTATACTGACACATTTATACTGACACATTTATACTGACACATTTATACTGACACATTTATACTGACACATTTATACTTCACTTTAATACGGACACATTTATAATGAGAGAGACAGAGAGTGAGAGAGACAGAGAGTGAGAGAGACAGAGAGTGAGAGAGACAGAGAGTGAGAGAGACAGAGAGTGAGAGAGACAGAGAGTGAGAGAGACAGAGAGTGAGAGAGACAGAGAGTGAGAGAGACAGAGAGTGAGAGAGACAGAGAGTGAGACAGACGAGGGTGTGAGAGACAAAGATTGAGAGAGAGAATGAGAGAGACAGAGAGTGAGAGAGACAGAGAGTAAGAGAGACAGAGAGTGAGAGAGACAGAGAGTGAGAGAGACAGAGAGTGAGAGAGACAGAGAGTGAGAGAGACAGAGAGTGAGAGAGACAGAGAGTGAGAGAGACAGAGAGTGAGAGAGACAGAGATTGAGAGAGACAGAGAGTGTGAGAGACAGAGAGTGAGAGAGACAGAGAGTGAGAGACGAGAGTGAGACAGAGAAAAGAGAACCTGGTTGCGGTACCTCTCGCGTGATTAGCCACAACTAGATAGTGATCTCCCTCAATTTGAAAGGCCTCCACATCTCTTGCCGTGTAAGTCAGGATGTTTTGATGACGTCTAAACTTCTTGATCACGTGGTTCCATTTAAAGATGGTCGAGTTACAGGGTAAGCTCTGCCTTTTCCCGTAGTTGGCCACTGCAAGGAAAGACTGAAATTCAAGTAGTTGTTGTCATCAGATGACACACGGGAAAATTTGTCAGTCAAGTAGTTGTTTTCATCAGATGACACACGGGAAAATTTGTCAAATTCAACTAGTTGTCATCAGATGACACACGGGAAAATTTGTCAAATTCAACTAGTTGTTGTCATCAGATGACACACGGGAAAATTTGTCAAATTCTACTAGTTGTTGTCATCAGATGACACACGGGAAAATTTGTCAAATTCCACTAGTTGTTGTTATCAGATGACACACGAGAAAATTTGTCAAATTCAAGTGTTTGTTGTCATCAGATGATACACTGGAAAATTTGTCAAATTCAACTAGTTGTTGTCATCAGATGACACACGGGAAAATTTGTCAAAGTCAAGTAGTTGTTGTTATCAGATGATACACGGGAAAATTTGTCAAATTCAACTAGTTGTTGTCATCAGATGACACACGAGAAAATTTGTCAAATTCAAGTATTTGTTGTCATCAGATGACACACGGGAAAATTTGTCAAATTCAAGTGTTTGTTGTCATCAGATGACACACGGGAATATTTGCCAAATTCAACTAGTTTTTGTCATCAGATGACACCCGGGAAAATTTGTCAAATTAAACTAGTTGTTGTCATCAGATGACACACGGGAAAATTTGTCAAATTCAACTAGTTGTTGTCATCAGATGACACACGGGAAAATTTGTCAAATTCAACTAGTTGTTGTCATCAGATGACACACGGGAAAATTTGTCAAATTCCACTAGTTGTTGTTATCAGATGACACACGAGAAAATTTGTCAAATTCAAGTGTTTGTTGTCATCAGATGACACACGGGAAAATTTGTCAAATTCAACTAGTTGTTGTTATCAGATGACATACTGGAAAATTTGTCAAATTCAACTAGTTGTTTTCATCAGATGATACACGGGAAAATTTGTCAAATTCAACTAGTTGTTGTCATCAGATGACACACGGGAAAATTTGTCAAATTCAACTAGTTGTTGTCATCAGATGACACACGGGAAAATATGTCAAAGTCAACTAGTTGTTGTCATCAGATGACACACGGGAAAATTTGTCAAAGTCAAGTAGTTGTTGTTATCAGATGATACACGGGAAAATTTGTCAAATTCAACTAGTTGTTGTCATCAGATGACACACGGGAAAATTTGTCAAATTCAACTAGTTGTTGTCATCAGATGACACCCGGGAAAATTTGTCAAATTCAACTAGTTGTTGTCATCAGATGACACACGGGAAAATTTGTCAAATTCCACTAGTTGTTGTCATCAGATGACACACGAGAAAATTTGTCAAATTCAAGTGTTTGTTGTCATCAGATGACACACGGGAAAATTTGTCAAATTCAACTAGTTGTTGTTATCAGATGACATACTGGAAAATTTGTCAAATTCAACTAGTTGTTTTCATCAGATGATACACGGGAAAATTTGTCAAAGTCAACTAGTTGTTGTCATCAGATGACACACGGGAAAATTTGTCAAAGTCAAGTAGTTGTTGTTATCAGATGATACACGGGAAAATTTGTCAAATTCAACTAGTTGTTGTTATCAGATGACATACTGGAAAATTTGTCAAATTCAACTAGTTGTTGTCATCAGATGATACACGGGAAAATTTGTCAAATTCAACTAGTTGTTGTCATCAGATGACACACGGGAAAATTTGTCAAAGTCAAGTAGTTGTTGTTATCAGATGATACACGGGAAAATTTGTCAAATTCATCTAGTTGTTGTCATCAGATGACACACGAGAAAATTTGTCAAATTCAAGTGTTTGTTGTCATCAGATGACACACGGGAAAATGTGTCAAATTCAACTAGTTTTTGTCATCAGATGACACACGGGAAAAGGTTTATACCCTTATAGTAGTTGGCCATCCTATTATTATATTTCATGAAATAATTAGTCAGGCCTAGAGCCTAGATCAGTGGTCCTTAACCTTTATGGAAATGTCGAGCTCCACGCGTTTCATTGTGTACATTTACCGAAAACTTCTTAATAGGAAAAGTAAAATGTCCTTTTTTTGCCAAATTCAAACCATATATAGGCCTATATTACTTTATATTTTACCAGTACACAAAATGAACCGTACATCAACATCACTGTTTGAAAGAACAAAACTATTAAAATATGATTTTCACACAAAATCATAACGATAATAATGAATATACAATGCAAAACAGTGTACTTGTGCTGTCTTTGCAGACACCTGTTCAGAGCGTTGTGTTCTTGTATTTTATTTTTATCACCTGGGAGCTTAAGGAAGAATTCTCTTAGTTTTGCCGGATACTAGATGATAATAGGACAACTTGACATAACAAATCATACAGTTAGGACGCTGACTCTCATCAAGTTCTGTTGTACATATGAATCCAAATGGTAGGCCTACATATTTACCCTACCACTTATTTTTGCTCGACATAGTTATTCTGAAAGGATTAAAACATTAAGAAAGAAATCACAAGACGTACCATCACGATAGTCACAAGTCGACTACTGGGCCCAGATATTGAAATAAAAAATAAATTCGCCACAGGACGTATATGCACGATGAACGCACGCCTGTATAGGTGGCGTTGACATGATTCGTGACGTATGCGTGCCGTGACGTGGTGGAGTACACGATATAGAAATAGCAAGGTATCTCGCTCTGTCGCAGTTTATCATTAGATCTATGAAGCGCTGTCTTATTTCAAATATCATCTGCCGCGGCCGCATATTTCTATCGTTAGCACTAACCCTATCGGATAGTAAATCACATTAATCGTGTGTATGTCTTCAACTCCGCCGAAACACAGAGACTGACACATGGGGTTCGACCTGACTTCCTATAATAAAACTTCAATGGACACGGCTGACTGACCTGACTTCCTATAGTAAAAACTTCAATGGACACGGCTGACTGACCTGACTTCCTATAGTAAAAACTTCAATGGACACGGCTGACTGACCTGACTTCCTATAGTAAAAACTTCAATGGACACGGCTGACTGACCTGACTTCCTATAGTAAAAACTTCAATGGACACGGCTGACTGACCTGACTTCCTATAGTAAAAACTTCAATGGACACGGCTGACTGACCTGACTTCTTATAGTAAAACTTCAATGGACACGGCTGACTGACCTGACTTCCTATAGTAAAAACTTCAATGGACACGGCTGACTGACCTGACTTTTTATAGTAAAACTTCAATAGACACGGCTGACTGACCTGACTTCCTATAGTAAAAACTTCAATGGACACGGCTGACCTGACTTCCTATAGTATAAACTTCAATGGACACGGCTGACTGACCTGACTTCTTATAGTAAAACTTCAATGGACACGGCTGACTGACCTGACTTCCTATAGTAAAAAACTCAATGGATTGGGCTGACTCAGTTGGGAGCCATTGATAGTGTTGGAATATTCCATTCTTCCATTGTTGAATGCTTGATCTAAAAATAGGCCATTGTATGGTATAGTGAACGTTTAAAGTTTGGGGGAAACCCTTTATCATACTGTATGTATTTTTAATAGTTTGTATTCCTAAACTAACAACTTATGACAAAATATCACAACTTAAATTATGAAAACTAGTATATTCTTGAAGTAAGCCAAACGTGTCTTACTTTGCTGACCACTGTCCAGCTTGTCCACCCGCAGCAAAGGCAGCAAACTTTCCTTCACCTGGCACTTCAAAGAGCTCGACGTCATAAGATCCGTGACCAATGGTCACAACTTGATGAGGGACCAGGTAATCAAGTTTGTTTTCCTCTGACCATATATGGAAACATAAGGTGAACTATACAGCCTACTTTGGAATTTTAAAGGGAATGTTTGTGTATGTAATACTTTAAGTTTTGATGTACATTATAGGACTACGTGTCTAGTTTTTAAATTAGTAACTGGATATAAACTAGAGACATCTCGATGTACAGTGAACCCAGAGACCCCTGATGTACAGTGAACCCAGAGACCCCTGGATGTACAGTGAACCCAGAGACCCCTGGATGTACAGTGAACCCAGAGACCCCTGATGTACAGTGAACCCAGAGACCTCTAGATGTACAGTGGACCCAGAGACCCCTCGATGTACAGTGAACCCAGAGACCCCTGATGTACAGTGAACCCAGAGACCCCTGATGTACAGTGAACCCAGATACCCCTGGATGTACAGTGAACCCAGAGACCCCTGATGTACAGTGAACCCAGAGACATCTCGATGTACAGTGAACAGAGACCCCTGATGTACAGTGAACCCAGAGACCCCTGATGTACAGTGAACCCAGAGACCCCTCGATGTACAGTGAACCCAGAGACCCCTGATGTACAGTGAACCTAGAGACATCTCGATGTACAGTGAACCCAGAGACCACTCAAAGTGTACAGTGAACAGACCCCTAGATATACAGTGAACCCAGAGACCCCTAGATGTACAGTGAACCCAGAGACCCCTCGATGTACAGTGAACCCAGAGACCCCTAGATGTACAGTGAACCCAGAGACCCCTGATGTACAGTGAACCCAGAGACCCCTGATGTACAGTGAACCCAGAGACCCCTGATGTACAGTGAACCCAGAGACCCCTGATGTACAGTGAACCCAGAGACCCCTGATGTACAGTGAACCCAGAGACCCCTGGATGTACAGTGAACAGAGACCCCTGGATGTACAGTGAAGCCAGAGACCCCTCGATGTACAGTGAACAGACCCCTCGATGTACAGTGAACCCAGAGACCCCTAGATGTACAGTGAACCCAGAGACCCCTGATGTACAGTGAACCCAGAGACCCCTGATGTACATTGAACCCAGAGACCCCTGATGTACAGTGAACCCAGAGACCCCTGGATGTACAGAGAACCCAGAGACCCCTGATGTACAGTGAACCCAGAGACCCCTGATGTACAGTGAACCCAGAGACCCCTGGATGTACAGTGAACAGAGACCCCTGGATGTACAGTGAACCCAGAGACCCCTCGATGTACAGTGAACAGACCCCTAGATGTACAGTGAACCCAGAGACCCCTAGATGTACAGTGAACCCAGAGACCCCTAGATGTACATTGAACCCAGAGACCCCTAGATGTACATTGAACCCAGAGAACCCTAGATGTACAGTGAACCCAGAGACCCCTGGATGTACAGTGAACCCAGAGACCCCTGGATGTACAGTGAACCCAGAGACCCCTGATGTACAGTGAACCCAGAGACCTCTAGATGTACAGTGGACCCAGAGACCCCTCGATGTACAGTGAACCCAGAGACCCCTGATGTACAGTGAACCCAGAGACCCCTGATGTACAGTGAACCCAGATACCCCTGGATGTACAGTGAACCCAGAGACCCCTGATGTACAGTGAACCCAGAGACATCTCGATGTACAGTGAACAGAGACCCCTGATGTACAGTGAACCCAGAGACCCCTGATGTACAGTGAACCCAGAGACCCCTCGATGTACAGTGAACCCAGAGACCCCTGATGTACAGTGAACCTAGAGACATCTCGATGTACAGTGAACCCAGAGACCACTCAAAGTGTACAGTGAACAGACCCCTAGATATACAGTGAACCCAGAGACCCCTAGATGTACAGTGAACCCAGAGACCCCTCGATGTACAGTGAACCCAGAGACCCCTAGATGTACAGTGAACCCAGAGACCCCTGATGTACAGTGAACCCAGAGACCCCTGATGTACAGTGAACCCAGAGACCCCTGATGTACAGTGAACCCAGAGACCCCTGATGTACAGTGAACCCAGAGACCCCTGATGTACAGTGAACCCAGAGACCCCTGGATGTACAGTGAACAGAGACCCCTGGATGTACAGTGAAGCCAGAGACCCCTCGATGTACAGTGAACAGACCCCTCGATGTACAGTGAACCCAGAGACCCCTAGATGTACAGTGAACCCAGAGACCCCTGATGTACAGTGAACCCAGAGACCCCTGATGTACATTGAACCCAGAGACCCCTGATGTACAGTGAACCCAGAGACCCCTAGATGTACAGAGAACCCAGAGACCCCTGATGTACAGTGAACCCAGAGACCCCTGATGTACAGTGAACCCAGAGACCCCTGGATGTACAGTGAACAGAGACCCCTGGATGTACAGTGAACCCAGAGACCCCTCGATGTACAGTGAACAGACCCCTAGATGTACAGTGAACCCAGAGACCCCTAGATGTACAGTGAACCCAGAGACCCCTAGATGTACATTGAACCCAGAGACCCCTAGATGTACATTGAACCCAGAGAACCCTAGATGTACAGTGAACCCAGAGACCCCTAGATGTACAGTGAACCCAGAGACCCCTAGATGTACAGTGAACCCAGAGACCCCTAGATGTACAGTGAACCCAGAGACCCCTAGATGTACAGTGAACCCAGAGACCCATGATGTACAGTGATCCCAGAGACTCCTCGATGTACAGTGAACCCAGAGACCCCTGGATGTACAGTGAACCCAGGGACCCCTGGATGTACAGTGAACCCAGACACCCCTGGATGTACAGTGAACCCAGAGACCCCTGATGTACAGTGATCCCAGAGACCCCTGGATGTACAGTGAACCCAGAGACCCCTCGATGTACAGTGAACCCAGAGACCCCTAGATGTACAGTGAACCCAGAGACCCCTAGGTGTACAGTGAACCCAGAGACCCCTGATGTACAGTGAACCCAGAGACCCCTGGATGTACAGTGAACCCAGAGACCCCTGGATGTACAGTGAACCCAGAGACCCCTGGATGTACAGTGAACAGACCCCTGGATGTACAGTGAACCCAGAGACCCCTCGATGTACAGTGAACCCAGAGACCCCTAGATGTACAGTGAACCCAGAGACCCCTGGATGTACAGTGAACAGACCCCTGATGTACAGTGAACCCAGAGACATCTCGATGTACAGTGAACCCAGAGACATCTCGATGTACAGTGAACAGAGACCCCTGATGTACAGTGAACCCAGAGACCCCTGGATGTACAGTGAACCCAGACCCCTGGATGTACAGTGAACCCAGAGACCCCTCGATGTACAGTGAACAGACCCCTCGATGTACAGTGAACAGACCCCTAGATGTACATTGAACCCAGAGACCCCTAGATGTACATTGAACCCAGAGACCCCTAGATGTACAATGAACCCAGAGACCCCTGATGTACAGTGAACCCAGAGACCCCTGATGTACAGTGAACCCAGAGACCCCTGGATGTACAGAGAACCCAGAGACCCCTGATGTACAGTGAACCCAGAGACCCCTGATGTACAGTGAACCCAGAGACCCCTGGATGTACAGTGAACAGAGACCCCTGGATGTACAGTGAACCCAGAGACCCCTCGATGTACAGTGAACAGACCCCTAGATGTACAGTGAACCCAGAGACCCCTAGATGTACAGTGAACCCAGAGACCCCTAGATGTACATTGAACCCAGAGACCCCTAGATGTACATTGAACCCAGAGACCCCTAGATGTACAGTGAACCCAGAGACCCCTGGATGTACAGTGAACCCAGAGACCCATAGATGTACAGTGAACCCAGAGACCCCTAGATGTACAGTGAACCCAGAGACCCCTAGATGTACAGTGAACCCAGAGACCCCTAGATGTACAGTGAACCCAGAGACCCCTAGATGTACAGTGAACCCAGAGACCCATGATGTACAGTGATCCCAGAGACCCCTGGATGTACAGTGAACCCAGAGACCCCTGGATGTACAGTGAACCCAGGGACCCCTGGATGTACAGTGAACCCAGAGACCCCTGGATGTACAGTGAACCCAGAGACCCCTGATGTACAGTGATCCCAGAGACCCCTGGATGTACAGTGAACCCAGAGACCCCTCGATGTACAGTGAACCCAGAGACCCCTAGATGTACAGTGAACCCAGAGACCCCTGATGTACAGTGAACCCAGAGACCCCTGATGTACAGTGAACCCAGAGACCCCTGGATGTACAGTGAACCCAGAGACCCCTGGATGTACAGTGAACCCAGAGACCCCTGGATGTACAGTGAACAGACCCCTGGATGTACAGTGAACCCAGAGACCCCTCGATGTACAGTGAACCCAGAGACCCCTAGATGTACAGTGAACCCAGAGACCCCTGGATGTACAGTGAACCCAGAGACCCCTGGATGTACAGTGAACAGACCCCTGATGTACAGTGAACCCAGAGACCCCTGATGTACAGTGAACCCAGAGACCCCTGGATGTACAGTGAACCCAGAGACCCCTGGATGTACAGTGAACAGACCCCTGATGTACAGTGAACCCAGAGACATCTCGATGTACAGTGAACCCAGAGACATTTCGATGTACAGTGAACAGAGACCCCTGATGTACAGTGAACCCAGAGACGCCTGGATGTACAGTGAACAGACCCCTGGATGTACAGTGAACCCAGAGACCCCTAGATGTACAGTGAACCCAGAGACCTCTGATGTACAGTGAACCCAGAGACCCCTGGATGTACAGTGAACCCAGAGACCCCTAGATGTACAGTGAACCCAGAGACCCCTCGATGTACAGTGAACAGAGACCCCTGGATGTACAGTGAACCCAGAGACCCCTGGATGTACAGTGAACCCAGAGACCCCTGGATGTACAGTGAACAGACCTCTGAATGTACAGTGAACCCAGAGACCCCTGATGTACAGTGAACCCAGAGACCCCTGGATGTACAGTGAACCCAGAGACCCCTGAATGTACAGTGAACCCAGAGACATCTCGATGTACAGTGAACCCAGAGACCCCTAGATGTACAGTGAACCAAGAGACCCCTGGATGTACAGTGAACCCAGAGACCGCTCAAAGTGTACAGTGAACAGACCCCTAGATGTACAGTGAACCCAGAGACCCCTAGATGTACAGTGAACAGAGACCCCTCGATGTACAGTGAACAGACCCCTAGATGTACAGTGAACCCAGAGACATCTCGATGTACAGTGAACCCAGAGACCCCTGATGTACAGTAAACCCAGAGACATCTCGATGTACAGTGAACCCAGAGACCCCTGATGTACAGTGAACCCAGAGACCCCTGATGTACAGTGAACCCAGAGACCCCTGGATGTACAGTGAACCCAGAGACCCCTGGATGTACAGTGAACCCAGACCCCTGGATGTACAGTGAACCCAGAGACCCCTCGATGTACAGTGAACAGACCCCTAGATGTACAGTGAACCCAGAGACCCCTAGATGTACATTGAACCCAGAGACCCCTAGATGTACATTGAACCCAGAGACCCCTGGATGTACAGTGAACCCAGAGACCCATAGATGTACAGTGAACCCAGAGACCCCTAGATGTACAGTGAACCCAGAGACCCCTAGATGTACAGTGAACCCAGAGACCCCTAGATGTACAGTGAACCCAGAGACCCCTAGATGTACAGTGAACCCAGAGACCCCTGATGTACAGTGATCCCAGAGACCCCTCGATGTACAGTGAACCCAGAGACCCCTGGATGTACAGTGAACCCAGGGACCCCTGGATGTACAGTGAACCCAGAGACCCCTGGATGTTCAGTGAACCCAGAGACCCCTGATGTACAGTGATCCCAGAGACCCCTCGATGTACAGTGAACCCAGAGACCCCTGGATGTACAGTGAACCCAGAGACCCCTAGATGTACAGTGAACCCAGAGACCCCTGGATGTACAGTGAACCCAGAGACCCCTGGATGTACAGTGAACCCAGAGACCGCTCAAAGTGTACAGTGAACAGACCCCTAGATGTACAGTGAACAGAGACCCCTCGATGTACAGTGAACAGACCCCTAGATGTACAGTGAACCCAGAGACCCCTAGATGTACAGTGAACCCAGAGACCCCTGATGTACAGTGAACCCAGAGACCCCTGATGTACAGTGAACCCAGAGACCCCTGATGTACAGTGAACCCAGAGACCCCTGGATGTACAGAGAACCCAGAGACCCCTGATGTACAGTGAACCCAGAGACCCCTGATGTACAGTGATCCCAGAGACCCCTCGATGTACAGTGAACCCAGAGACCCCTGGATGTACAGTGAACCCAGGGACCCCTGGATGTACAGTGAACCCAGAGACCCCTGGATGTACAGTGAACCCAGAGACCCCTGATGTACAGTGATCCCAGAGACCCCTCGATGTACAGTGAACCCAGAGACCCCTGGATGTACAGTGAACCCAGAGACCCCTAGATGTACAGTGAACCCAGAGACCCCTGGATGTACAGTGAACCCAGAGACCCCTGGATGTACAGTGAACCCAGAGACCGCTCAAAGTGTACAGTGAACAGACCCCTAGATGTACAGTGAACAGAGACCCCTCGATGTACAGTGAACAGACCCCTAGATGTACAGTGAACCCAGAGACCCCTAGATGTACAGTGAACCCAGAGACCCCTGATGTACAGTGAACCCAGAGACCCCTGATGTACAGTGAACCCAGAGACCCCTGATGTACAGTGAACCCAGAGACCCCTGGATGTACAGAGAACCCAGAGACCCCTGATGTACAGTGAACCCAGAGACCCCTGATGTACAGTGAACCCAGAGACCCCTGGATGTACAGTGAACAGAGACCCCTGGATGTACAGTGAACCCAGAGACCCCTCGATGTACAGTGAACAGACCCCTAGATGTACAGTGAACCCAGAGACCCCTAGATGTACAGTGAACCCAGAGACCCCTAGATGTACATTGAACCCAGAGACCCCTAGATGTACATTGAACCCAGAGAACCCTAGATGTACAGTGAACCCAGAGACCCCTAGATGTACAGTGAACCCAGAGACCCCTAGATGTACAGTGAACCCAGAGACCCCTAGATGTACAGTGAACCCAGAGACCCCTAGATGTACAGTGAACCCAGAGACCCATGATGTACAGTGATCCCAGAGACCCCTCGATGTACAGTGAACCCAGAGACCCCTGGATGTACAGTGAACCCAGGGACCCCTGGATGTACAGTGAACCCAGAGACCCCTGGATGTACAGTGAACCCAGAGACCCCTGATGTACAGTGATCCCAGAGACCCCTGGATGTACAGTGAACCCAGAGACCCCTCGATGTACAGTGAACCCAGAGACCCCTAGATGTACAGTGAACCCAGAGACCCCTAGGTGTACAGTGAACCCAGAGACCCCTGATGTACAGTGAACCCAGAGACCCCTGGATGTACAGTGAACCCAGAGACCCCTGGATGTACAGTGAACCCAGAGACCCCTGGATGTACAGTGAACAGACCCCTGGATGTACAGTGAACCCAGAGACCCCTCGATGTACAGTGAACCCAGAGACCCCTAGATGTACAGTGAACCCAGAGACCCCTGGATGTACAGTGAACAGACCCCTGATGTACAGTGAACCCAGAGACATCTCGATGTACAGTGAACCCAGAGACATCTCGATGTACAGTGAACAGAGACCCCTGATGTACAGTGAACCCAGAGACCCCTGGATGTACAGTGAACCCAGACCCCTGGATGTACAGTGAACCCAGAGACCCCTCGATGTACAGTGAACAGACCCCTGGATGTACAGTGAACCCAGAGACCCCTCGATGTACAGTGAACCCAGAGACCCCTAGATGTACAGTGAACCCAGAGACCCCTGGATGTACAGTGAACCCAGAGACCCCTGGATGTACAGTGAACCCAGAGACCCCTGGATGTACAGTGAACAGACCCCTTATGTACAGTGAACCCAGAGACCCCTGATGTACAGTGAACCCAGAGACCCCTGGATGTACAGTGAACCCAGAGACCCCTGGATGTACAGTGAACAGACCCCTGATGTACAGTGAACCCAGAGACCCCTGATGTACAGTGAACCCAGAGACCCCTGATGTACAGTGAACCCAGAGACCCCTAGATGTACAGTGAACAGACCCCTGATGTACAGTGAACAGACCCCTGGATGTACAGTGAACCCAGAGACCCCTAGATGTACAGTGAACCCAGAGACCTCTGATGTACAGTGAACCCAGAGACCCCTGGATGTACAGTGAACCCAGAGACCCCTAGATGTACAGTGAACCCAGAGACCCCTGATGTACAGTGAACCCAGAGACCCCTAGATGTACAGTGAACCCAGAGACCTCTGATGTACAGTGAACCCAGAGACCCCTCGATGTACAGTGAACCCAGAGACCCCTAGATGTACAGTGAACCCAGAGACCCCTGATGTACAGTGAACCCAGAGACCCCTAGATGTACAGTGAACCCAGAGACCCCTGATGTACAGTGAACCCAGAGACCTCTGAATGTACAGTGAACCCAGAGACCCCTGATGTACAGTGAACCCAGAGACCCCTGGATGTACAGTGAACCCATAGACCCCTGATCTACAGTGAACCCAGAGACCCCTTATGTACAGTGAACCCAGAGACCCCTGGATGTACAGTGAACCCAGAGACATCTTGATGTACAGTGAACCCAGAGACCCCTAGATGTACAGTGAACCCAGAGACCCCTGATGTACAGTGAACCCAGAGACCCCTGGATGTACAGTGAACCCAGAGACCCCTGATGTACAGTGAACCCAGGGACCCCTGGATGTACAGTGAACCCAGAGATCCCTGATGTACAGTGAACCCAGAGACCCCTGATGTACAGTGAACCCAGAGACATCTCGATGTACAGTGAACCCAGAGACCCCTGATGTACAGTAAACCCAGAGACATCTCGATGTACAGTGAACCCAGAGACCCCTGATGTACAGTGAACCCAGAGACCCCTGATGTACAGTGAACCCAGAGACCCCTGGATGTACAGTGAACCCAGAGACCCCTGGATGTACAGTGAACCCAGAGACCCCTGATGTACAGTGAACCCAGAGACCCCTGATGTACAGTGAACCCAGAGACCCCTAGATGTACATTGAACCCAGAGACCCCTAGATGTACAGTGAACCCAGAGACCCCTGATGTACAGTGAACCCAGAGACCCCTGATGTACAGTGAACCCAGAGACATCTTGATGTACAGTGAAACCAGAGACCCCTGGATGTACAGTGAACCCAGAGACCCCTCGATGTACAGTGAACCCAGAGACCCCTGGATGTGCAGTGAACCCAGAGACATCTCGATGTACAGTGAACCCAGAGACCCCTGATGTACAGTGAACCCAGAGACCCCTGATGTACAGTGAACCCAGAGACCCCTAGATGTACAGTGAACCCAGAGACCCCTGATGTACAGTGAACCCAGAGACCCCTGATGTACAGTGAACCCAGAGACCCCTAGATGTACAGTGAACCCAGAGACCCCTGGATGTACAGTGAACCCAGAGACCCCTAGATGTACATTGAACCCAGAGACCCCTGATGTGCAGTGGAAGTGCAGATACCTGGCATCAGTTTGACCTCCCGCCAGATTCCGTTAGTGCACACCTTGAGCTTCCCCAGGTGCACATCGTAGGCGATGTTCCCCACGTCATTCCATCGGCAGACGGCGGCCACCGAGTGGAACGGTGTCAGCGTGGAGTAGCCTGAGACCAAACAGTGAGTGGACAGTAGAGATCAAATAATGAGTGGACAGTAGAGATCCATCAATATAGAAGTTTATCGTGAAAAGACACAAGTTCATTTATCTCTCCGAAATTCAGCAAGGGAAGCAACCCGTGTAATCAACTGTTATAACTTTAACATGGGATGTAATGCATGCTATAAACTCTCATACATTTAACATGGGAAACAACTCGTTACCCGGAAAGGTTCTGATGACGTTGTCAAGATCTTTCTTGATACTGATTTTTGGGACACATGCTCTTGTAGTGAAATCACCGCCAGGAATGAGAACAACACTTTTTATCAAACCCTGTGGAGGAGATCTCATTACATCAAGATGCTGAAGTTAACTATATCGGAATACTCTAGTAAAGATTCATGGCGCTGAAATATTTCTCATTGATTCATGATACATTTTATTAGAAGAAAACAAAGTGTCTCTACCTTAAAGACTGACCACCTGGGCCCACATTTCCCCACGACAAAGGTCGTGTTTCCAATGGGCAGAAGGTCCGGAAACGGCTCGTGTAGCTGACGGTGTCTGTGCAGACGACAGTCTCTAGAGACCAGCAGAGAGTGAGCTGCCACGCTGACCCCCAGGGAGTGCCACTGACGGTCCTGGTAACCAGGGCTGATCTGGAAGCTTTGGCGCCGCTCCTTGTAGCGAAACACCAGCCGGTCTTTTAAAAAACCCACAGACAGTATTGTTTTGTTGGTTTGTTTGTGAAACAAGGAGAAGATGCACTCTTCACTTTTTGGCGGCACGTTTTGCTTGTAGGTTATAAATAGAGAGAACTCGTAGGGAAAATATTGACAGTTAGGGAAGAGGGAATCAGCTTGGAGGTAAATGTTGTCTGAGATAGGGGAGAACTTGAAGGCGTGCACGTGACTCCCGTGATCATACAGAATGTTCACGCCACGTGGCAGCGCGTGTAGGTTAGGTACAGCTCGTTCTAGCAGGTCCAGTGGCGGCACATCTGTAGGATATACATACATACATACAGTGGCATGCAGGCAGGACGGCAGACAGACAGACAGACAGACAGACAGACAGACAGACAGACAGACAGACAGACAGACAGACAGACAGACAGACAGACAGACAGACGGACGGACGGACGGACGGACGGACGGACGGACAGACAGACAGACAGACAGACAGGCAGACAGACAGACAGACAGACAGACAGACAGACAGGCAGGCAGGCAGGCAGGCAGGCAGGCAGGCAGGCAGGCAGACAGACAGACAGACAGACAGACAGACAGACAGACAGACAGACAGACAGACAGACAGACAGACAGACAGACAGACAGACAGACAGACAGACAGTGTAGGTTAGGTACAGCTCGTTCTAGCAGGTCCAGTGGCGGCACACCTGTAGGGTATACATACATACATACATACATACATACAGTGGCATGCAGGCAGGACGGCAGACAGACAGACAGACAGACGGACGGACGAATGGACGGACGGACGGACAGACGGACAAAATGTGACAGATATACAAGATGTGACACCTTACAACATGTCAATTTATTCATTACATTTTTTATGTATTCTGTAACTTGTGAGACGAAATGGTCGGATGGTGGAGCGCACGACCGCTAACAACGAAGTTTTGGGATTTGGATTCCGGGTTCGAGTCCATCCAGCTCTTATGGATACCTAACACACTAGAGTAAAGCGGCTGAGCACTGAATCGACCACACAATCGCTTCAATTGTCACAGGAACATGTGAACTTTATCTTCCCCATATATGGCCAGTACCTAGAGTGTAACGTATTGGCTACATCAACTAGCCTACAATGTTACAATGTTTTACCCCAGCCACTCACGTTTGAACAGACCGGACTGTTTTGATATCAGTTGAATCAACGTTGCTGCACGCAGCCAATTCTTGAGATAAAAACTTGCCTAGATCTTAAGATTGTCTCGGTAAATACCAGCGATTCTTCTTTTGAAATATCTCGTCATCTTGCGATATTGACTTAATTAATGATAGAAGCCACGAGACCGTCGCTGTACTTTCAAGTAGAAATCTGTCGTCAAACATAGCGGCCCTATGAGCACTGAACATTTTATGTTGAAGAAAGTTGAAAGAATAGATGAGAAGAAATGGAGCTAAAAAAAAGTTGAGTGAAGAGAGGAATGAGCTAAAATATAGGGCGACAGCCAAGGCCTAAAGGGTCAAAACTCCAAACCACTATTTTCCATTTTTTTTCTCTAAAATACCAAGTTAAAAAAAGTGTGTTAATTAAAAAACAACTGCAGAATGATCTCTAAAACTCATTTTAAAAAGTTACTTTTTTAACATGCTAAAGTGATACGTCACACTTTATGAACCTTTGTCGGCCCCCTCTTCACAAAGTTGTGATTCAATGGGTGTTATATTGTTTATGGCTATTGTCATTTTAAGTTGTGATTCAATGGGTGTTATATTGTTTATGGCAAGTGTCATTTTAAGTTCTGATTCAATGAGTGTTATATCATTTTAAGTTGTGAACGTATTTGAGAAGTGTTCACAGAATTAGGTTTTTACGCACTTTTTACACTTAAAGTTTTGAAAACAAAACATTTTTAGTGAAACTCCTCAAAAGTTATCTACAAAAATATTTTCTTAAATACATAGCTGATCATATACTCAAACCACACATTGATGTAATATTTTAAGTAAATAGAAAAGCCAAAATAAAGTTTATTTTATTTAAAATCAAACAATTATAAAATATATTTACACCACCAACACACGTAACAAATAACTAAATGTAAAAAAAAAATAATTTATCTAAACCTTGCATATAATAATAGTTGAATCTATGAGCTTAAATGTTCTTATAATTGATTTGACATGTGGCATTGAGGATATATCTTGAATTCCACCCCACATTTAGAAAAAGCAATGTGACATACCAGAACAAGGCGGTGGATAAAGCTCCATGTTCTCAATACACACTGCATGCATGAAGAGAATGTACTGGAACATCGGCTGCCATCTGAGTAGAGGCTTAATTTCTGTCAGTAGAGAAACAAAGACAACATTAGAACATGTACTAGGACACACACACACACACATATATATATATATATATATATATATATATATATATATATATATATATATATATATATATATATATATATATATATATATATATATATATATATATATATATATATATAATTTCTTTTATATTTAAAAAATTTTCTATTTATTTATGTCTAACAACTCAAAATGAGCTTTTGATTTTTTTTTCGCATACCCATTTTGCTCCCCCTGTGTTCGGCGCCCTGCCCTACCCGCCCGCCGCTAGCGACGCCACTGATACCCATATATATGTGGCGAAGAGTCCATCTTAAGACTGGTTTTTCCTCATGAAGTTTGTGCGCGACGCAGGGAACCAGTTTGTGCCGCTAGTAATTTATATCTTTCAATTTCTGAACACAGCCAGATCAAAGCGGCCTAAGTGTCCCGGCAATATAACACGGCTGCTATTTGAGCCCGCACCGTTTTGTAGTGCAACCAATTGGAGGGATTCAATTGGTGGCTTTGTTAAAGTAACCAGGGATAAGGTAACGTTTCTAGAGGTCGATGCTTCTAACCAACACTGATCGAACTTTTAGATGTAAAATACTGAGTACTTGTTAATGGACAACATAATTACAAGCGCAATATATACGAATATAGACATAGTCATTTCTCATGTTAATTATAATCCATAAAGTATTTATTTATAACAATTTTAATTCTGGAACAATCGAGTCACAAGCCGATAAAAAAACGTGGTATAAATTGAGTCACAAGTTGATATAAAAACGTTGTATAAATTGAGCCACAAGCTTTTTAGCGCAATTTCCATTCTGGAGAATTGCGTTTATTAACTCGTCATTTCTGGGAATGGATGGATGAATGAATGTATGGATGTATGGATGAATGTGTGTCCGGGCTTTAAGTCGTATCTCCTCCTCAACGAAGCAATATCGATGACTAGTTCCAAAAGCAATTATGTTAAGCAAGTTACGAGGATGAACATAGGCCATAAAAATTACGGGTTTCTTTCATGTATTTCCCGGAAAAGCCAAAAAACCTCGAAAAAATATTCAGTTTTTGGCCCATATCTCTGCAACCAGACCACTTAGCGACGTGAAACATGTATCAATCGATTCCTGCCGTAGTTTAGAACAATATTGCCGAAGAAATTTTTCAAAAATATCCTTTCGTTCGGTCACAAATAAATTTTGAATTAATTAAAATTTGGACCGAATTAGTAGGCATTTTTTCCAACCACACCACACGCGTCATCACGTTCAATAGCTGCGCCATCGCGTTCCATGGCTGCGCCATCACGTTCAGTAGGCGCGCAATGGTTTTTAGTCATGTAACTCTATTGTAAATAAAACATGTAAAATACTGAAAAAAATTAATAAAAAACGTTTTAATAACTAACCAATGGTTTTACTAACCCTGCTCTTGATTTACGCTACGACAGAGCTATTTTTAGATAACATAAGGAAATTGCGCTAAAATTGTCACTAGACTTTTTAATTACCTTGTTTAATAAATGTGGTATACATTGAGCTTCATAAAACATTCGAACAAATTTAAAATTCAGCACAGAGAAGCGGACAAGAAAATGATGTTCGGGTGTATAATCTTACTACACTGTTTACCTTTCTTTCTTGAGTGTTTTCTGAGAATTGTTAACGTATGGGCTCATTTCTAAATGCATTTTAGAGGGTATATTTCTATAAATAAAAACATAAACACTTGTTTTATACGTCAACAGATGACCAAATTAATGTCTAGATAGTGCACTAAGATTTGATTTTACAATCAACGCAGGATTTAACACCAGAGGTTATTGTTTTAATATGTACAGTTACTGTAAGGTTAAAACCAGAGAGGTTATTGTTTTAATATGTACAGTTACTGTAAGGTTAACACCAGAGAGGTTATTGTTTTAATATGTACAGTTACTGTAAGGTTAACACCAGAGAGGTTATTGTTTTAATATGTACAGTTACTGTAAGGTTAACACCAGAGGTTATTGTTTTAATATGTACAGTTACTGTAAGGTTAACACCAGAGGTTATTGTTTTAATATGTATAGTTACTGTAAGGTTAACACCAGAGAGGTTATTGTTTTAATATGTACAGTTACTGTAAGGTTAACACCAGAGGTTATTGTTTTAATATGTACAGTTACTGTAAGGTGGGAATCTGTAAACAAAAGACTTAGTCATTTATACACATTCTTGCTCTTTTAAACACATTCCTAGCCATTTAAAAACATTCCTAGTCATTTAAACACATTCCTAGTCATTTAAACACATTCCTAGTCATTTAAACACATTCCTGGTCATTTAAACACAATCATTGTCATTCTCAAATTTTACAAACTTTTGGGGTGGTTTTAGCGCTGCAGTGGTGGGCTTGTTATAAGAAATCTCACTACATGATTATCCTTTTAGTAAGCGTTCGAACTAATTCTTAATGTTATTTAATATTTTAACAAGGCGTTTTTATAGTTTAATAGTATAAATAAGATAGTGGAAGAATGGTTATTTTAAAAATGGAAGGAAAATAAATAAATAAAAAACTTACTGAAGCTGGGGATTAAAAAATGCGCTATCGTAAGTGAAAGCATTTTGTCCAACATTAAGCAAACCACACCAGCATTTTCACTTCAGTTCTTATCGGTTTGTTTCTTATTTCAATCGGAGTTGAAGACGTTGAAACACTGAAAGAAATCAATGCGCGGATACATTGAAGCCTGTGGGAAAAAATCGCGATTGAGGGCGCTGGTTGGTCAACCAGTAGAGACGTCAGGTGAATGGGGGACCTCGACTGTTTGATGTCGGCTGATCAAAGCAAGCGACGCGAGCCTCCACGGGAATTCAACTTGTGACTGCAGTGCTTTTAAGTCACTTACCAACACCATCTTAACGTTGCTAGTTTTTATTTGAAGTCTACAGCATTGCCGTAGTGGGCTTGTTGCGAGAAATCTCATAACGTCTAGGGCTTGTTACAAGAAATCTCATAATGTTTAGGGCTTGTTATAAAAAATCTCATAACGTTTAGGGCTTGTTACAAAAATCTCATAACGTCTAGGGCTTGTTACAAAAATCTCATAACGTTTAGGGCTTGTTCCAAAAATCTCATAACGTCTAGGGTTTGTTATAAGAAATCTCATAACGTATAAGATTTGTTACAAATAATCTCATAACGTCTTATAGGGCTTGTTACAAAAATCTCATAATATCTAGGGCTTGTTACAAAATCTCATAACGTCTTATAGGGCTTGTTACAAAAATCTCATAATATCTAGGGCTTGTTACAAAAATCTCATAACGTCTTATAGGGCTTGTTACAAATAATCTCATAACGTCTTATAGGGCTTGTTACAAAAATCTCATAACGTCTAGGGCTTGTTACAAAAATCTCATAACGTCTAGGGCTTGTTACAAAAATCTCATAACGTTTAGGGCTTGTTACAAAAATCTCATAACGTCTAGGGCTTGTTACAAAAATCTCATAACGTTTAGGGCTTGTTACAAAAATCTCATAACGTTTAGGGCTTGTTACAAAAATCTCATAACGTCTAGGGCTTGTTACAAAAATCTCATAACGTCGAGAGAACCGCCAGCCTTCAGGTTGTAGAGCAGGCGATAAATGAAAGAAGAATGGCATGCCGGGAGGTTATTAAACTGTGTCAACACGGGCCGTAGTAGGTCGGAGGTGGGGGGGGGGGGAGAAAAGGGCTGTGTTAGTTACTAGTTATCAGATGGATGTTAATTAAAAGCACATAATAAAAACCGAATCAAACTTGAATGAAATTTGATTAAAGTATTTGTTCTTGTATGTGCATGTGTATGTGTGACTTTTGGTTATTTATAGCTCTGTACGTAGGCAGTCCGCTGACCTTTAAGTATATATGGCTGGTTCTGGTTGACGTGGCTTTACTACTGGTGTTTTTTTTTTATTGGTTGTATTTTTTATATTACTTTTTGACTGATTGCTATCTAGCAGATTGGTAGCTGTATCTTGTCCATTGTATCAACTATTTGGTGTCTGTATCTTGTCCATTGTATCAACTATTTGGTATCTGTATCTTGTCCATTGTATCAACTATTTGGTATCTGTATCTTGTCCATTGTATCAACTATTTGGTGTCTGTATCTTGTCCATTGTATCAACTATTTGGTATCTGTATCTTGTCCATTGTATCAACTATTTGGTATCTGTATCTTTTCCATTGTATCAACTATTTGGTATCTGTATCTTGTCCATTGTATCAACTATTTGGTATCTTTATCTTGTCCATTGTATCAACTATTTGGTATCTTTATCTTGTCCATTGTATCAACTATTTGGTATCTGTATCTTGTCCATTGTATCAACTATTTGGTATCTGTATCTTGTCCATTGTATCAACTATTTGGTATCTGTATCTTGTCCATTGTATCAACTATTTGGTATCTGTATCTTGTCCATTGTATCAACTATTTGGTATCTTTATCTTGTCCATTGTATCAACTATTTGGTATCTGTATCTTGTCCATTGTATCAACTATTTGGTATCTGTATCTTGTCCATTGTATCAACTATTTGGTGTCTGTATCTTGTCCATTGTATCAACTATTTGGTATCTGTATCTTGTCCATTGTATCAACTATTTGGTATCTTTATCTTGTCCATTGTATCAACTATTTGGTGTCTGTATCTTGTCCATTGTATCAACTATTTGGTGTCTGTATCTTGTCCATTGTATCAACTATTTGGTATCTGTATCTTGTCCATTGTATCAACTATTTGGTATCTGTATCTTGTCCATTGTATCAACTATTTGGTATCTGTATCTTGTCCATTGTATCAACTATTTGGTGTCTGTATCTTGTCCATTGTATCAACTATTTGGTGTCTGTATCTTGTCCATTGTATCAACTATTTGGTATCTGTATCTTGTCCATTGTATCAACTATTTGGTATCTGTTATGACCGTGTCCAGTTCACCAGCTATACCAAGGACTTGGTCTAAGTCGTCACGTGCTTGATACGATAAGGGTGAATTGCTAATCATTATGAATTGCTGATCATTATGAATTGCTGATCATTATGAATTGCTGATCATTATGAATTGCTGATCGTTATGAATTGCTGATCATTATGAATTGCTGATCATTATGAATTGGTGATCATTATGAATTGCTGATCATTATGAATTGCTGATCATTATGAATTGCTGATCATTATGAATTGCTGATCATTATGAATTGCTGATCATTATGAATTGCTGATCATTATGAATTGCTGATCATTATGAATTGCTGATCATTATGAATTGCTGATCATTATGAATTGCTGATCATTATGAATTGCTGATCATTATGAATCGCTGATCATTATGAATTGCTGATCATTATGAATGCTGACCATTATGAATTGCTAATCATTATGTATTGCTGATCATTATGAATTGCTGATCATTATGAATTGCTAATCATTATGAATTGCTGATCATTATGAATTGCTAATCATTATGAATTGCTGATCGTTATGAATTGCTGATCATTATGAATTGCTGATCATTATGAATTGGTGATCATTATGAATTGCTGATCATTATGAATTGCTGATCATTATGAATTGCTGATCATTATGAATGCTGATCATTATGAATTGCTGATCATTATGAATTGCTGATCATTATGAATTGCTGATCATTATGAATTGCTGATCATTATGAATTGCTGATCATTATGAATTGCTGATCATTATGAATTGCTGATCATTATGAATTGCTGATCATTATGAATTGCTGATCATTATGAATTGCTGATCATTATGAATTGCTGATCATTATGAATTGCTGATCATTATGAATTGCTGATCATTATGAATTGCTGATCATTATGAATTGCTGATCATTATGAATTGCTGATCATTATGAATCGCTGATCATTATGAATCGCTGATTATTATGAATTGCTAATCATTATGAATTGCTGATCATTATGAATTGCTGATCATTATGAATTGCTGATCATTATGAATTGCTGATCATTATGAATTGCTGATCATTATGAATTGCTGATCATTATGAATTGCTGATCATTATGAATTGCTGATCATTATGAATGCTGATCATTATGAATTGCTGATCATTATGAATTGCTAATCATTATGAATTGCTGATCATTATGAATTGCTGATCATTATGAATTGCTAATGATATTTTGTATTATTTGCTTTTCGGAAAAACACATACATGTTTATATCAAATAACATCAAATTCTGAAGGTTTTTGAGAAATCGGAAACTGGAAGAAGAGTCCTTTCGGTTACCGGAAATAACTCAAAATTTGAAAGAAACCTACATACAGGATGGAGTATTTCAGTAACGGTCTAGTTGTGCTATATCGCTCATCTAACTGAAACGGTATTCAGGTTGTCGTGTCCAGACGGATGTAGAATATACCACCCTTCCGTTTACCGGAAATCACTAAAAAGTTGACATAAACTAGCGTATAAGACTTATACTTATATTTAAAATTTCTCCCATCTAACTGAAACGTTAGTCCAGTTATCGGTTTTTGATAAAGCGAAAGTAGAGTAATTACACTTCCAGTTAATGAGAATCACTCAACAATCGATAAAAACCTACAAATGGGATATACTAGGTTGGCCTGTATATAAAAATGTTCGTCAAACATACAGACTGAAATACAGACACACGTGCAAACAAGATTGCAAAAAATGTGTTTTTCCGACACAAGATGGTGAAAAACTTTGGTTTTGACAAAACATGATTTCAATTTTTTCCCGATTACAATACTTGCTCTACTAGAGTTTTGGAGTTGTAAAGATGAAGCACAAACACGCACGGTTTAGCACAGTTCTTAAACAAACACCTACATTCATTCCTTTTGCCAGTACACATTTATCGGCACATTTTAAATCCTTAACTAAAAGTGGGTAAGTATCGTTAAAACAAAAAGTTTTTTAAAGTCCTATTAGGCACATTTTTGCCCTTTCAAATGATCGCAATAGAGTTTACTTGTTCAATGATTTTTCCTAATTGAACCTTAATTTGAACCAATAGCCAATACTCTTGACACGCAAGCAGATTGTAGATTGACAGTCCCAACAATCAGAAGATGAGCAGAATTCTAGGCGCCCCGACCGTTGGCCCACAACAACAGGTGATAGAACCTGAGGCGAAGGATCCTTTCGAGGTCAGCACTTACGTCTGTTTAACTCCGGTGTGGGGGTCAAAGTTTAGTGTGTGGGGTAGTGTGGTCAAAGTTTAGTGTGTGGGGTAGTGTGGTTAAAGTTTAGTGTGTGGGGTGGTGTGGTCAAAGTTTAGTGTGTGGGGTAGTGTGGTCAAAGTTTAGTGTGTGGGGTAGTGTTGTTAAAGTTTAGTGTGTGGGGTGGTGTGGTCAAAGTTTAGTGTGTGGGGTAGTGTGGTCAAAGTTTAGTGTGTGGGGTAGTGTGGTTAAAGTTTAGTGTGTGGGGTGGTGTGGTCAAAGTTTGGTGTGTGGGGTAGTGTGGTCAAAGTTTAGTGTGTGGGGTAGTGTGGTCAAAGTTTAGGGTGTAGAGTAGTGTGGTTAAAGTTTAGTGTGTGGGGTGGTGTGGTCAAAGTTTAGTGTGTGGGGTAGTGTGGTCAAAGTTTAGTGTGTGGGGTAGTGTTGTTAAAGTTTAGTGTGTGGGGTGGTGTGGTCAAAGTTTAGTGTGTGGGGTAGTGTGGTCAAAGTTTAGTGTGTGGGGTAGTGTGGTTAAAGTTTAGAGTGTGGGGTAGTGTGGTTAAAGTTTAGTGTGTGGAGTAGTGTGGTCAAAGTTTAGTGTGTGGGGTAGTGTGGTCAAAGTTTAGTGTGTGGGGTAGTGTGGTCAGTTTAGTGAGTGGGGTAGTGTGGTCAAAGTTTAGTGTGTGGGGTAGTGTGGTCAAAGTTTAGTGTGTGGGGTAGTGTGGTCAAAGTTTAGTGTGTGGGGTGGTGTGGTCAAAGTTTAGTGTGTGGGGTAGTGTGGTCAAAGTTTAGTGTGTGGAGTAGTGTGGTCAAAGTTTAGTGTGTGGGGTAGTGTGGTCAAAGTTTAGTGTGTGGGGTAGTGTGGTCAAAGTTTAGTGTGGAGTAGTGTGGTCAGTTTAGGGTGTGGAGTAGTGTGGTCAAAGTTTAGTGTGGTGTAGTGTGGTCAAAGTTTAGTGTGTGGGGTAGTGTGGTCAAAGTTTAGTGTGTGGGGTAGTGTGGTTAAAGTTTAGTGTGTGGGGTAGTGTGGTCAAAGTTTAGTGTGTGGGGTAGTGTGGTTAAAGTTTAGTGTGTGGGGTAGTGTGGTCAAAGTTTAGTGTGTGGGGTGGTGTGGTCAAAGTTTAGTGTGTGGGGTAGTGTGGTCAAAGTTTAGTGTGTGGGGTAGTGTGGTCAAAGTTTAGTGTGTGGGGTAGTGTGGTTAAAGTTTAGTGTGTGGGGTAGTGTGGTCAAAGTTTAGTGTGTGGGGTGGTGTGGTCAAAGTTTAGTGTGTGGGGTAGTGTGGTCAAAGTTTAGTGTGTGGGGTAGTGTGGTCAAAGTTTAGGGTGTAGAGTAGTGTGGTTAAAGTTTAGTGTGTGGAGAAGTGTGGTCAAAGTTTAGTGTGTGGGGTAGTGTGGTCAAAGTTTAGTGTGTGGGGTAGTGTGGTCAAAGTTTAGTGTGTGGGGTGGTGTGGTCAAAGTTTAGTGTGTGGGGTAGTGTGGTCAAAGTTTAGGGTGTAGAGTAGTGTGGTTAAAGTTTAGTGTGTGGGTTAGTGTGGTCAAAGTTTAGTGTGTGGGGTAGTGTGGTCAGTTTAGTGTGTGGGTTAGTGTGGTCAAAGTTTAGTGTGTGGGGTAGTGTGGTCAGTTTAGGGTGTAGAGTAGTGTGGTTAAAGTTTAGTGTGTGGAGAAGTGTGGTCAAAGTTTAGTGTGTGGGGTAGTGTGGTCAAAGTTTAGGGTGTAGAGTAGTGTGGTTAAAGTTTAGTGTGTGGGTTAGTGTGGTCAAAGTTTAGTGTGGTGTAGTGTGATCAGTTTAGGGTGTGGAGTAGTGTGGTTAAAGTTTAGTGTGTGGGGTAGTGTGGTCAAAGTTTAGTGTGTGGGGTAGTGTGGTCAAAGTTTAGGGTGTAGAGTAGTGTGGTTAAAGTTTAGTGTGTGGGTTAGTGTGGTCAAAGTTTAGTGTGTGGGGTAGTGTGGTCAGTTTAGTGTGTGGGTTAGTGTGGTCAAAGTTTAGTGTGTGGGGTAGTGTGGTCAGTTTAGGGTGTAGAGTAGTGTGGTTAAAGTTTAGTGTGTGGAGAAGTGTGGTCAAAGTTTAGTGTGTGGGGTAGGGTGGGCAAAGTTTAGGGTGTAGAGTAGTGTGGTTAAAGTTTAGTGTGGTGTAGTGTGATCAGTTTAGGGTGTGGAGTAGTGTGGTTAAAGTTTAGTGTGTAGAGTAGTGTGGTTAAAGTTTAGTGTGTGGTGTAGTGTGGTCAAAGTTCAGTGTGTGGGGTAGTGTGGTCAGTTTAGGGTGTAGAGTAGTGTGGTTAAAGTTTAGTGTGTGGAGAAGTGTGGTCAAAGTTTAGAGTGTGGGGTAGTGTGGTTAAAGTTTAGTGTGGTGTAGTGTGGTCAAAGTTTAGAGTGTGGGGTAGTGTGGTCAAAGTTTAGTGTGTGGGGTAGTGTGGTTAAAGTTTAGTGTGGTGTAGTGTGGTCAAAGTTTAGAGTGTGGGGTAGTGTGGTCAAAGTTTAGTGTGTGGGGTAGTGTGGTCAAAGTTTAGTGTGTGGGGTAGTGTGGGCAAAGTTTAGTGTGTGGGGTGGTGTGGTCAAAGTTTAGTGTGTGGGGTAGTGTGGTCAAAGTTTAGTGTGTGGAGTAGTTTGGTCAAAGTTTAGTGTGTGGGGTAGTGTGGTCAAAGTTTAGTGTGTGGGGTAGTGTGGTCAAAGTTTAGTGTGGAGTAGTGTGGTCAGTTTAGGGTGTGGAGTAGTGTGGTCAAAGTTTAGTGTGGTGTAGTGTGGTCAAAGTTTAGTGTGTGGGGTAGTGTGGTCAAAGTTTAGTGTGTGGGGTAGTGTGGTTAAAGTTTAGTGTGTGGGGTAGTGTGGTCAAAGTTTAGTGTGTGGGGTAGTGTGGTTAAAGTTTAGTGTGTGGGGTAGTGTGGTCAAAGTTTAGTGTGTGGGGTGGTGTGGTCAAAGTTTAGTGTGTGGGGTAGTGTGGTCAAAGTTTAGTGTGTGGGGTAGTGTGGTCAAAGTTTAGTGTGTGGGGTAGTGTGGTTAAAGTTTAGTGTGTGGGGTAGTGTGGTCAAAGTTTAGTGTGTGGGGTGGTGTGGTCAAAGTTTAGTGTGTGGGGTAGTGTGGTCAAAGTTTAGTGTGTGGGGTAGTGTGGTCAAAGTTTAGGGTGTAGAGTAGTGTGGTTAAAGTTTAGTGTGTGGAGAAGTGTGGTCAAAGTTTAGTGTGTGGGGTAGTGTGGTCAAAGTTTAGTGTGTGGGGTAGTGTGGTCAAAGTTTAGTGTGTGGGGTGGTGTGGTCAAAGTTTAGTGTGTGGGGTAGTGTGGTCAAAGTTTAGGGTGTAGAGTAGTGTGGTTAAAGTTTAGTGTGTGGGTTAGTGTGGTCAAAGTTTAGTGTGTGGGGTAGTGTGGTCAGTTTAGTGTGTGGGTTAGTGTGGTCAAAGTTTAGTGTGTGGGGTAGTGTGGTCAGTTTAGGGTGTAGAGTAGTGTGGTTAAAGTTTAGTGTGTGGAGAAGTGTGGTCAAAGTTTAGTGTGGTGTAGTGTGATCAGTTTAGGGTGTGGAGTAGTGTGGTTAAAGTTTAGTGTGTGGGGTAGTGTGGTCAAAGTTTAGTGTGTGGGGTAGTGTGGTCAAAGTTTAGGGTGTAGAGTAGTGTGGTTAAAGTTTAGTGTGTGGGTTAGTGTGGTCAAAGTTTAGTGTGTGGGGTAGTGTGGTCAGTTTAGTGTGTGGGTTAGTGTGGTCAAAGTTTAGTGTGTGGGGTAGTGTGGTCAGTTTAGGGTGTAGAGTAGTGTGGTTAAAGTTTAGTGTGTGGAGAAGTGTGGTCAAAGTTTAGTGTGTGGGGTAGTGTGGTCAAAGTTTAGGGTGTAGAGTAGTGTGGTTAAAGTTTAGTGTGGTGTAGTGTGATCAGTTTAGGGTGTGGAGTAGTGTGGTTAAAGTTTAGTGTGTAGAGTAGTGTGGTTAAAGTTTAGTGTGTGGTGTAGTGTGGTCAAAGTTCAGTGTGTGGGGTAGTGTGGTCAGTTTAGGGTGTAGAGTAGTGTGGTTAAAGTTTAGTGTGTGGAGAAGTGTGGTCAAAGTTTAGAGTGTGGGGTAGTGTGGTTAAAGTTTAGTGTGGTGTAGTGTGGTCAAAGTTTAGAGTGTGGGGTAGTGTGGTCAAAGTTTAGTGTGTGGGGTAGTGTGGTTAAAGTTTAGTGTGGTGTAGTGTGGTCAAAGTTTAGTGTGTGGGGTAGTGTGGTCAAAGTTTAGTGTGTGGGGTAGTGTGGTTAAAGTTTAGTGTGTGGGGTAGTGTGGTCAAAGTTTTAAAATGGGAACCTTTTTGTCGATGAGCCTTTTTGTCGCCTGCTGTGATGAAGCCTTACGTCCCTGTCCACAGGTTATAACCGACGAGGACCTGTAATGAGGCCTTACGTCCCTGTCCACAGGTTATAACCGACGAGGACCTGTGCAGTAATGAGGCCTTACGTCCCTGTCCACAGGTTATAACCGACGAGGACCTGTGCAGTAATGAGGCCTTACGTCCCTGTCCACAGGTTATAACCGACGAGGACCTGTACAAAGCAGACGAGATCCTGACGAAAGAGATCCTCTGGTACGCCGGCTACACCCTGCTGAGTGTCGTCGTCTTCCTGGTGCTGGTGGCCTGTCTGGCCCTGGACCCCCGGGCCTTCATCATAGCCTTTGGTACCGGAAGTCCTTGCTGCTTGTTGTGTCCGTGCATCAAAAGCTTGTACAAGTACACAGACCCGGCTAAGCTCATCCAGGTAAGCTCATACAGGTAGCAACAGTTTGTACAAGTACACAGACCCGGCTAAGCTCATCCAGGTAAGCTCATACAGGTAGCAACAGCGTGTACAAGTACACAGACCCGGCTAAGCTCATCCAGGTAAGCTCATACAGGTAGCAACAGCGTGTACAAGTACACAGACCCGGCTAAGCTCATCCAGGTAAGCTCATACAGGTAGCAACAGCGTGTACAAGTACACAGACCCGGCTAAGCTCATCCAGGTAAGCTCATACAAGTAGAAATCTTATTAGTGAATACATGTTGATACGGGTACAATTTAATACAGTGTTTTTATATAGGTGAACTTCAATACATGTCATTAAAGTAAACTTTATACAGGTAAACTAATATAGGCAAAACTTAAGTAATTTAAGTAAAGAAATAGATGTAAACTTGAATGCAAATAATCCAATTCAATAAACCTACATAACCTAAATAAGCTTTTTACGGAAAAACACAGGTCGAGATAAACTATTAGATTTGGGACAAAACGCAGATATAGGTAATAATGGTATAAATGTAACCTAACATTGTCAATTTAAGTGCAGGTAAAATAGCATTAATACATATCCACAGTAAATTTTTAGGTATGATCCATTTATCTTTCACCCCTCCCCCATCCCCTATTTGTATCACCAGGCAAGTGCCAACAAATATGTCCCAGGTATTCTCATAGAGGACGACGGAACAATCAAACAGTACGACCCGTCACCTGACGAGATGGAGGCTCTGTTCGAGTTGGTTAACGAGTTCATGACCATCTCGTGAGATGGAGGCCTTGTTCGAGTTCATGACCATCTTGTGAGATGGAGGCCTTGTTCGAGTTCATGACCATCTTGTGAGATGGAGGCCTTGTTCGAGTTCATGACCATCTCGTGAGATGGAGGCCTTGTTCGAGTTCATGACCATCTCGTGAGATGGAGGCCTTGTTCGAGTTCATGACCATCTCGTGAGATGGAGGCCTTGTTCGAGTTCATGACCATCTCGTGAGATGGAGGCCTTGTTCGAGTTCATGACCATCTCGTGAGATGGAGGCCTTGTTCGAGTTCATGACCATCTCGTGAGATGGAGGCCTTGTTCGAGTTCATGACCATCTCGTGAGACCCACCCAGCTGAACTGATGGCCCGCTGCAGGGGAAGTAATGGACGCAAACTTTGCCAGAGTGAAAATATTTTCAAGGTTTTCTCCCCTTTATAACGACAGAAGAGTTTCGCCCAGCAGTGGAGTTAAAATGTCAAATAGTGAAAAAATTGTACGTGCTATAGGTCTGCACACCTACGTCACTGGTGGCAGGATTACATGGTGGGGTGGGTGTGATACCAGGAAGGCTTGCCCCACCCACCGTCTATCAGCGATGGCCTGATGTCAGTAGCTGTGTTCTGGGTATGCAGCAAATACCATGTATCCACCTTTTGTAAAAAATGATTGAGTGAACAAGTTGAACTAACTCACTGACACGTACAAAAGGTAGAGGTGGCACATACAGACTCTGTCTCTCATTCACTCCAACACACCCTTTAGACATACTCATACACACACATGCACACCCCCACACACACATATATATATATATATATATATATATATATATATATATATATATATATATAAATATATAATTTATATATATTTGTGTGTGTGTGTGTGTGTGTGTGTATAACATGCTTAACCTGTCAGCTCCAAAGATTCCTATCTTGTTTTATCTGTGTACTAAAGTAATTCATGTAAATACATATTAAAGTTACATTAACTATATTAACTAAACATTATTTCAGTGTGAAAATGTATGACTATTCAGTCAGTTGATTGTATTCAACACACAAAAAAATGGGGAAAAAATTACTTTTAAAATCTCAGGAAAGAACAAACAAAAAAAACAACTTTTGATTACATATCAATCTAGGGGAGCTAACCAGTGAGATGATAATTTACCCTCATTTATAAAGGTGCTTCCCCTTTAATAATCATTTACATATTAAGTTACAAAATAGCGTACGGTATTTATTTTCTTTTCTTTTTTTTTTTTTGTAAGAAAGTTTAAGCAATAGTCCTTAGTTTTGTCTAACACTGGGCTAACATATAGAGAGAAAACCAGCATCAGGGTACCCCCCCCCCCCCCCACACACACACCGCCTGTAGGTGCGTGCGTCACGTGACCAGTCTGTCAAAACGTCCTCTTTGTGTGTGTGGCCTGAAGCAGACTGTAATCAGCAGACAGAGCTAGGTCTGGTGGACACCAACTGTAGGGGGTTGGACGGCATGAAATTTATGATTGACAGGCCAAAGGGCTGGTCAACTGGCCAGCTGTCAGCACGTTTGATGCTGGACTGTCAGCACGTTGGATGCTGGACTGTCAGCACGTTGGATACTGGACTGTCAGCACGTTGGATGCTGGACTGGACTGTCAGCACGTTGGATGCTGGACTGTCAGCACGTTGGATGCTGGACTGTCAGCACGTTGGATGCTGGACTGTCAGCACGGTGGATGCTGGACTGGACTGTCAGCACGTTGGATGCTGGACTGTCAGCACGTTGGATGCTGGACTGTCAACACGTTGGATGCTGGACTGTCAGCACGTTGGATGCTGGACTGGACTGTCAGCACGTTGGATGCTGGACTGTCAGCACGTTGGATGATGGACTGTCAGCACGTTGGATGCTGGACTGGACTGTCAGTACGTTGGATGCTGGACTGGACTGTCAGCACGTTGGATGCTGGACTGTCAGCACGTTGGATGCTGGACTGTCAGCACGTTGGATGCTGGACTGGACTGTCAGCACGTTGGATGCTGGACTGTCAGCACGTTAGATGCTGGACTGTCAGCACGTTGGATGCTGGACTGTCAGCACGTTGGATGCTGGACTGTCAGCACGTTGGATGCTGGACTGGACTGTCAGCACGTTGGATGCTGGACTGTCAGCACGTTAGATGCTGGACTGTCAGCACGTTGGATGCTGGACTGTCAGCACGTTGGATGCTGGACTGTCAGCACGTTGGATGCTGGACTGTCAGCACGTTGGATGCTGGACTGGACTGTCAGCACGTTGGACGCTGGACTGGGGACACGCCGTGGTTCAAAGTTTGTTGTATGAGTATCTTAACCCGTACACATTTAGGTTTGGTTAGCCCACAGATATATGCCATTAATATATACATATACATTCGTGGTTTTCTAAAACTGGCAATGTTGTAGCAATCACATGATAAATGTGTTTTTATAAACCAGACAAAATGTGTTTTATAAACCACACAAAATTCACAAACCACACAAAATTCACAAACCACACAAAATTCACACAATAAACGAGTGCTAACTGAAAGTTTGAAGTTTTTTTACCCGGGCTGAAGTCCGTATGACGTGGCTGAGTTCACCCAGCTCTGATGAGTACCTGACCCACATTAAAATCGACTGGGTATAGAACTGACCACACTACCCTACTTACGTTACGAAACAAGGGAATTCCACTTCAACTCTCCCATTGACCGCCTGGTTTGCAAGTTTGGCTTCATTGATTTTTGCAAACCATTCAAAACTAGTTTTTAAACTAAAAAAAAAAAATCATTTATATACTCTATAAACGTGTTATAAATTACAAAATGTGTTATAAATGTAATTTATACACTGAATAAATGAGTTTTATAAATTACAAAATAAATGTTATTTATACACTTAATTAACAAATTTTATAAACTACAAAATAGTTTACAAAAATAGATTTGTACACACTTTATAGAGTTGAACCACAGAAGAACAAAAATGATGTTAAGCTATAAAATAATGGATCATTAATGATGTTAAGCAGTAAAATAATTCATAATTAATGATGTTAAACTATACAATAATTATATCATTAATGATGTAAACATACCAATTAAAATATGTAAGCATAACTTTCCAATAAAAATATGTAATTAAAATATTATGTAAGCTTGACCTGCCAATTAAAATATGTAAGTATAATCTGCCAATAAAAATATGTAAGTATAATCTGCCAATTAAAATAAACATTCTCAACTCAACTGTAGACACACAAAAAATGTCATGATTAGCACAACGTTAGGAGACTTAGGCAACTTTAACTGATGCTTACGACGTTACTCGTTACATTTGCTTGAAATGGTCGAACACTTTTCTATTATTATTTTATTTCTCTTTGCTTTCAGTTTTAGCGATTTAACAAAGAATCCCCACCTTTTCAGTGATTTAAGTTAGAATTCCCACCTTTTCAGTGATTTAACAAAGAATTCCCACCTTTTCAGTGGTTTAAGTTAGAATTCCCACCTTTAGAGTGATTTAACTTCCTGTGCGAGAGGCTTCTATCACTGTCTCTTGTTTGATGTTTATCTCCCAACGTTTTCAATTTCCCGCCCACCAGATAAGTGAGTCGAATCGCTTACAATTCAATTGGTTTCCTTCAGACGACGGTTATGTCGTGTCTATTATTTCCTGGGGAGGGGAGCCTCCTACCCCCACACAAATATCTATTCCAATATCCGACACTTTTTCTTTGGCGAGGTGTCACCGAGGACACCTCTTGTTTGTGTCGTCGCCAGCCACACCCCTACACCCCGCCACACCCCTACACCGATTCTATTCTATTTTCAACAACAATGGCTGTTTGATAGAGGGACAAAAACCGGAAATCAAAGCTAACAATGCCGGCCGTTAGGGGGACAAAAGGGGAGACTAGCCGTCAGTATCAGTTGCAAATCAAATTGATGTGGCATCAACGTGGCAGATAAACTTGGAGTTGTCTGGGCACATCTAGCCCAGTCAGTCATGTGACTTCACAGTCAAGTCACGCTACTAGCCCAGTCAGTCATCTGCCCTCACAGTCACGCTACTAGCCCAGTCAGTCATGTGCCCTCACAGTCACGCTACTAGCCCAGTCAGTCATCTGCCCTCACATTTCATGCAAAAATTCCAGTTTGACTTTTCTACTTGTTTAACACTTCTATAAACCACAAAAAATATCCGTGTCACATCTATAGCCCACATAAAAACATGACGATTTTCCCGACCAATCCACACAATCACTCACAAACACACACATTTAAACATTTTTAAAAATTATAAAAAGAAATTATACGTATGTTTTGACCAGACTTTTATCAAATGTTTCTCTATTCGACCTATACTACCATTCAGACTTCCTATTAGCTTATTGTGTGATGGGTCGCAAGAACAATAACCCAGTTGTATTAGCTGTAAACCTGACCTTAATTAACTTGAAACAGAAGACGGAAAATAAAATAGAATTTAGGATGTATGACATATGTATAGATAAATTGTAAATAAAATGTGTCTGTTTGACGTATAGTGAGACGTCCATATATAGATGGACGTCTACCCCCCCCCCCCCCCTGTAAGAAAACGGAAGTCGAATGTTTACTGTTGGCTGTATTTAATCGCAGCTCCGCCGTGCCGTGGCTCATTAATCAAGCGTGGAGACATGCTGTAATTTGTGGCTTGTTAAGGGATTCCCGCTGATCCCTGGCCAGCCCTCGGGTTTGTGGGCTCGTTAATCCACGAGCTGCAAGCCCCGATCCGACGCCCATTTATGGCCTAAGCGTTACTCGGACGTTGGCACATTGAAAAGACACCGTAAAATGACAAGATAAATATCCGGGGCGGATTATTTATCACAGTAGCTTGTGATAATAATACACCCGTCAGTCAGCTCGCTGCCGGGTACATGAGATGGGCGATGCTAAAGGCTTGTATCCCGGGGAGGGGGCTAGCAGCTGATGGCAGGCCCCGGGCAGATGGAGGAGCAGGTCTGATACGGGGAGGGGGGGGGGCAGGTCTGTTACCGTGGGGGCAGGTGTAACGGTGCCATTCGATATGTACACAGTCGATGCAGACTGATGTACACAGTCGATGCAGACTGATGTACACAGTCGATGCAGACTGATGTACACAGTCGATGCAGAGTGATGTACACAGTACGTAAAGTGATGATATACACAGTACGTGAAGTGATGATATGTATTCTTAAGTCTAGCAATTTCATACTGATGTAACATTCATGCTACTCGTATAGAGAGTAGCACTGGCTACGCTTGACTGGCTACGCTTGACTGGCTACAGTTGACTGGTTACAGTTGACTGACTACAGTTGACTGGCTACAGTTGACTGGCTACAGTTGACTGGCTACAGTTGACTGGCTACAGTTGACTGGCTACAGTTGACTGGCTACAGTTGACTGGCTACAGTTGACTGGCTACAGTTGACTGGCTACAACGGACTGGCTACATTTGACTGGCTACAGTTGACTGGCTACAGTTGACTGGCTACAGTTGACTGGCTACAGTTGACTGGCTACACTTGATTGGCTACAGTTGACTGGCTACACTTGACTGGCTACAGTTGACTGGCTACACTTGACTGGCTACACTTGACTGGTTACAGTTGACTGGCTACAGTTGACTGGCTACAGTTGACTGGCTACAGTTGATTGGCTACAGTTGACTGGCTACAGTTGACTGGCTACAGTTGACTGACTACACTTGACTGGTTACAGTTGACTGGCTACAGTTGACTGGC